GTTCAGGTGGAAGTAGTCGATAAAGGCTAGTAAAAACAAATGAGTCTATCAAGTAAAGCTAGATTGTAAGGGAAGTAAATGAAACATGTTTTTAGTGAAGATGTGATAAGATTAAGTAATGATAAGAGACGGGTTAAAATTTAAGTAAGGGGTGATGCAGAAGTCATCAGTTGGTTCTGTTTTAATAGGCCAAGGGAGGGATAATGGCTGTACTAACTTCTTTTGAATGTATAGTTTAAGTTTAGTGGTTCGAAGCTACATCGATGTATACAGAAAAAGTTCTTCCAACCCTTTCAGCTTTCATGGTCTTAATCCCACTATGTCAAGGTATTTTTTTTCCCTTCACGTTCCCCAATGGAACATAGGGCTTCAAGCTAGTGGCTTGAAGTTTCTGTAGCAGTGTTTATTTTACAAGATGGGGTTGCAAGCCTCATGCCCAACCTTTCCTCTTTACCAGCATTATTCCTAGCTTAGCTAGGTAGGGGAGTACGTCGGCCCGGGATCGAACCCCGGACCATGTGCATGGTCGGCGAGCGTCCTGACCTGTATGCCACCGACGCACATGCCAAGGTATGGTAATTCCCAGTCATATTTTGGCGCTACCAAATTTTTCCTTTTTTATCCAATTTCTATACTTTTCCTTTATTATTTCAATTGTTACTATCACTATTCTCACTTTGAACTGTCCCCAGTATTATTTCACTCGTTCCATTTGTCATTCCAAATCAGCTTTGTTTTGCAATGTTGAATTCTATGTTGTCGAATTTCACACAGTGTTACGCAATGCTTTCATTTTTATTCTACTTACGTACTAATCCTGTAATTCCACACCCCTCTGAAGTTCTATACATCCTATGATTTGTTCTATATTAGATGGTTAGAGGCAATCGGCAGGAAGCCTTGGACCTAGGTTTCGTGCTAGTTGGCACTCGTTAGCAAGGCGTATCTGCAACCTTGAAGGAACTCATGTCCCTTCTGAGATTCGAACCCGCGTCACCCTGCAACTAGTGTCAAATCAAAAAATTTTTTATATATGATATAAGTTGTTTTGCTACTTGGCATTTAACTATGATTAGTAGTATTTCACACTATTATAAGTTTATGTATTTACACCTATGATTCAATTCCCTCACCGAATATAATTTCTTTAAAGCACCATATATTTGTATATATATATATATAATTATACAGCTTGATAATAAATTCGTTGAAAAGAGTCTCTTCTCTGAATCACTTGTTTTGACTTTCCATGTGTCTCAGTGAGAGTTTTCTATGAATAAATAGTTTAATGTATCTGCTGGTTTAAAGTAATCTCCGAAGGTGTTTAATACTCATTTAATTATTTCATACGTTGAAGGATGATACACCGGACTATGAGATACAGGTAGTTGCTGTTATTGTAAAGCAGTTAGTTACTCAATACTGCTGCCTTAGTATGATAGGCATTTGTCATTTCATGTCAAATAAATCAACAGTGTTACAAATTACAAAAACTCTAATCCACAGTTAATTCCATTGATAACAACTATTTAGCTAAATTTTGACTATTTTAATATTCAGCTGCTTATAAGTAGTAACTGACCATTAACCATGATTACATTTTTGGACACAAAGTATTTTAACCGATTGCAAGAAGTTTTTTTCATGGAAAAATGTCAAATCAAGCATTAAATCAATGAAATGTTTGCCTTCATTTGGTGTGTATAAGTCAGATTACAAAGTTACCTCCCTACACTGCACTAAGCTACACAGATATACGACATTTTCCAACCAACCTAGGCTGATATTTTGAATGCCAAAATGATAAAAAGAAGAAGAAGTTAAGAAATCTAGTCGATATATGTATACTTCTTTTTCCTGATTTTGTCCATTAACCAATTTTCTTTGTTTCCAATATAGAAATTATGTAGGTTTATATTTTTAAAATATCAGCAGATATAATTAAACATAATATTAAAGAAGAAAAGAAGAATGAATTTCAATGTTCAATAGATTAAGGATACACTTTATAATTTCGTAAAGCGTCTGCTTGTTCTTCGCCTAGTCGTTTTCTCTTTTCCCCCATTAGTCATATACACAAGGTGTTCTCTTGTTTTCTCCCTCCTGAATTGTGTTGCATAGACTTGCCAATATTGATTAATTTCCGGTTTTGAATGAAGAATGTCTTTTTTTGTTGTTGTTCCCGTCTGTTTTCATTGCCTACCATCGGTAAACATTCCCTGGGCCTTTCTACATCTTATTCGCCTTATTTACAGAGTACGAAGCATACCCTGTTACATACATGTTATACTGATTGTTATTTCTTAATTAAAATTATTTGTTTACGTCTTTATTATTTGACGAAAAATGCATAGATGTGAGTGTGTGCGCGCGCGCGCCTAACTGCACTCCTTGCCTGCACAGATCTATTCACATCAGCACACAAGTTTGTGTTTGGCATTTCCATTTGACATATATATATATATACATATATATATATATATATACATATATATATATATATATATATATAATCAAGGATAACAACTACAGGGCTTAATCCTCTTTATTGTTATTCCCTGATAGTCTTAAAGGTGCCAAAGAAAATTATGATTAATGACTAATAGGGAATTTATTGTCTGACTTCAAGTAGGAATAGGTGAGTAGTAAGTAGTTTTCTTACTAGTCGATGTATCTGTATGTTGCAAAACCTTTAAGAATTTGTGTTTTGCACCAGTTTGTAGACAGGCTTCAATGAATAGTAATAATAATCATGAATAAATAACTTATATATATATATATATATTACTTATAATGCACACAGGAATACTTAAGTGGATATCTTCTTATTTTAGGACACTTTCAAAAAACAAAACTGTTTTACAATGTGAAGTAAAACAAAAAAACAGCAAACAATATATACACCTTGTCCACCAAATAGGTTTTTATCTATTTGCCTAATAAACACTTTCTACTTATGGCACTTAGTGCTGTCTTGCTTTGTCTGTATTGATTTTTACACCGTAATCTAGTAATTCAACTAATAAATTTGTATTCATATCACTGAATTAACGGGCTACGTTGATGTGTGTATGTTTCAAGCTTCGCTATGGATTTGTATCAATTGCGGAACCACTGAAAACTGGGGTGGGGTACTGGACCCAATGTCCGTATGCATTCACTGGGGTTCGAACCCAGGACCTTTCAGCTACAAGGCAAGCTCGTAGACCATTCAGTCACTGGGACTTGTCTCAATGGCCTTGTCAGGAGTAAGGGCGAATACTAACTGATGACTCTGACTGGTGGTCACTTTGTATACCACGAATCGGTGGGAGTTAGAATTCGTGGACCATTGAATTCCGTCCCAGTAGATGAATGGTTTACTAACTTACCTTGTAGACGGAAGGTACTCAGTTCGAACTCTGGTGAAGGGTACACGCTGGTGATGAGTCTAGAAGTGAGATGAAATCGCTGTCCAGTAATTCTTGATTCTAAATGGTTCTCAAAGTGACATCGTTCCTTACAAAATAACTTTTGAGGATGTATGTTCCCTCAGAGTTCATTGATTAACTTTTTATCATAAGTCAGTGCGTTCATCACATATTTATCCGTGTTTATAATAAAATTTAAGAACTCAAACTGTTTGACATGTACTTTCTATTGTATTCTTTGGACAAAAGACAGAATATTATACAAACAAACCATTATTGCTGATTAAATGAGTAGTCGAATAAAACCGATTATTAAACAATATCAATGAAACAACTCAAAGCATTCGACTGCATCGGAACTTAACTGTCATCATGAATTTATAAAATAAAGAAAGTAACTGAGTGTCGTCAGTGAAATGCAATGCTTACTGGCAAGAAGAGAAAGTCTGCGAGAAATTGAATAAATTATAAATAATTGATAATTCTATATCATACCATGTAAACACACAGTAATTAACGAATAAAGGGGTAACAAAAACCTTTATAGAGTAGACAAGTTCTCTGGCCGAAATAAAGACTGGTGAGGAGATAAAGATGGCTTATCAGGACAAATAAAAATGACTAATGTCAAAATAGTAAACCATCTATTAAGTACGCCTTGACAGTAATCAGTAGTACAACCTCCTTTTTGCATTTATTTACGTTTCGAAGTTGTGCTGCGTTCGAAATATAATCCAGTAAATAATACTGGTTTGTTGCGTGATATGTCCTGTAATCAAATTCATGTTGCCACATGAAACGTGAGCGTCTGGGGTTTAGCTGTAGAGCACTTACCAACCAAGCAAGCGGTTCAGGATTCGATGCTCAGCTGGCTCACTCCCTTACCTCGCCTGGCCGCTGGTAAACTCGGTAAATAGTGGAGGCTGGGCATGAGACTAGCAACCCTATTCCATAGGGAAAAACACCACTGTTTCTGAAACTTCAAAGCTCAAGCCTGAAGCCCTATGCTCCACTGGGAACGCAAAGGAACAAAATCAATACATAAAATATGAATCGTGAAATTTTCGCGTTTGAATAATGAGGAATTTTCTACAGAGTTATGTTAAGAACCAGTCTCAGATAAATCACGAAAGTGAATAGCCTTCAAAGCACTTGCGTTATGTTATAACAAAATAATCAGAAGTAAAAAGAAGATTCATTGACTGTATGCGTCATAAGTATCACAATTATACCACACTGTCAAATAGAATCTTTTACATTACACGAAAAATTCCTCTTTCTATAGAACTATCTTGAGTTGTAAAGGCTAGCGAAAGGACCTCAATGAAATTAAATACCTCCATTTTTACATGAAACAGAAAGGGTATTAAATTTTTGTTTTGGTTGATCAAAGGTTTCCAGTCATTCCGTTTTCCTTCAATTTTCTTTTAGTTTTTGTCTTCTCTAATATGAACTCAAAACAAGTAGATATCTGTTATCCCGTTAAAAGCATTTCTTTGTAGTTAAACATTTTATTAATTTTTAATTAATTAAACAACTAATTAGTCTATTTATTCGAATTCTGTGTATTTGTTTGTTTAAATTAAACAGATGTCGTCGACTTACTTCAACTTGTTGAAATCGATAAAGCTGACAGTCATGAAGTTACGCGTCAGTATGGATTTTGTCCAACATCAAATGAAAATACAGATACAGCTTATTCGTATCATCGAGGTGATAAGTTAAAACTGCCTGCAGTAAAAGCATTCCATCGTAAGTCTACAACTTTTTTTATGTCATTTTGTCAATTGAACCTTAAATTTTGAAAATGATAAATCTTAATGACTAAAGACAAATCATCGTCTCCTCTTCCGAAGTCTAAAATCTCTTGGGTCATAACCAGTAGAAGAGAAGTGTCTGTTTAGAATTAACTGCAGAGAGACATTGGGTGGCGATTCAACCAAAAGTAGAGGGTGCCTCATGGTTGTTTATTTCTAGTTTCAGATTATTTAACTACGATTTCTCTACCATGGATTTGAAATGAAGTTCTGCTCTGTACTGTCTCCTCTCACAGCGAACAGCCATTAAGGCAGTAGATTATAGTAAGTCGGGAAATGTTTCCTTTCACTATCAATTTCGTTAATATTAGTCAGTGAAGAAGGGTATGAATGCACTGACTTATTTATAATACTGAATCCCTGTTACTTCACATCACCAGTTGTGAGGAGTTCCAATAGGTAGACTGTCAGTTTACCAAGTTAAATGACTTCTTATCTAGTCCTTGTATAGTATAATTATTTAAAGATATGTCTGAGGGCAAATCGTAAGCAAAAAAGCATGACGTTCTCCAGAATGGACAAAAAGCTTTTTCTGTCAGTTTAAACTTCAGTGGTTATCTAGTGAATGTCGCTCAGTGATTGGAAGTACCCTCCAAATAACAAATTTGACGATTCTTGTAAAATATGTAAATTTACAGCGGAATATATTTTCATAAATATTTCAAAATCCATAAAACTGTATAACTGCCTTGAACTTCATTCTTTAGTTCCATTTCCTCAGGACTTTTCTATTCTTGCAACTGTACGCCTACGTCATGAACAAAATCAAAAGATATTTGATTTAACAGATGATAAAGGAGAAACTCTGCTGGCTGTATCAGTAGGCAATACAATTGCACTGCATTATCATCTATCAGGCAGTTCAGCTCTCCTGGTGGTAGAATTTACAGGTGTCAGACTGAATACTCTCAGGTAATTAACTTTTAATCAGTTCCATTTTTATTCAAGTATTGGTTTGCAGGGATTTGGTTGATTGGTTACAGGATTTCATCATGAGCTGACCTTGGTTGGAAAACCACTGGAAAACCCGGGAGTACTGGACGGCTGTTTCGTCCTAGTTTGGAACTCTTCACAGTACGAACCCACCGGGATCTTCTGGTTACAAGGTGAGATCGTATACCATTAAGCCACTGGCACCCGATCCAATGGCCCATAAATTCCAACTTCTGCCAATTCATGATATAACGCAACAGCTAGCCAATGTCTTTGGCGAGTATTCGTCCTCACACCCGATCTGCTCCACCCTACTGGTCACGACTTCCCCATGGAAACCCAGGTAACTACCTACCTGAATAGGGCCAGTCGCCCAATTTTACTAACCAATGTCAGCCGATGATGAAATCCTGTGTCCAAGTTACATTTGCGTAAAATTCGTGTCACAAAACTGAGATGAAATTAATTTCACTAAACAGAAATTTTATTTTGTTTGTTTGTGAAGTTAATCGCATATCATTCGATAAGAAGTTTCATACATATTCTGTAATTCATTTGTATATTTTCGATGTTTGTTTAACTGGGTAGAATATAACTGATCTTTGTTAGCTTTCGGGCTATTAGGATGGACGTCTCAATAATACTTTTGATATCATGTTGAACTTATTTCCCTGAATAGCAGTTAGTAAGAGAATACACACTGTATGTTTTTACACTACCAAGAAGTTACACTATGCCTAGAAACACCAACTGGAACATTGTAATTCATTGGGATATTAGTACATTCAACTGACAGTTTGAGGCCTGCTAACAGCCATCAACTAGTAAACAACTCTAGTATTTAATACCTGAGATAGTCAACTAAACAATGACAATAAGTATATACTTTTAAAGTGTGTTTTAGCAAAGAATGATCTCAGGTTATAAAGTTAGATTAGAGACGATGGCCACAACCCTCTGTGCCTGATTTATGATGTTAACGGTGGGGTGGGGTGGTCTTAGTAACCAAAATATGTATTCATTGGGTTCTTTAAACAATTACCTCACCACATTCGCTAGAACACATGAGTATTTTCAAGCATAAGTAGTAGGATGTGATTAATATATTATTTTTTGAAAAGATCATGAAAAATATTCGATAACATATAGATTTATAATATCAGACTCATCATTTGTAGATAACTTTGAATGAATTTCGGGTAGATATTGAGTGGTTGGTGTTAAACATGTATTCAATTATTATACCCCCTACTGAACTGTCATCATTCCTTCTGTAGACATACAGAATCATGCTGCTTCACTCTTTTAGATAACTGAACTTATATTTCACACCAAATATCTAAGGAAAATTTATTCAAAGTTATCTATAAAGTTAAGGAAAGCCTCCAGAAAACGGTATGTTTCCACGTACCTCGCACTGCTGAGGCGGTAACCATTCGGATAGAAAACCCTGACTTATGCGCTCAAAAGAAAATTCATCATTTTTCTGAGTCCCTACCGGATACTTGACTGATGAGTCTTAAACCAGAGAAGTGGTCATTTGGTGATTACTTCATCTTGTATGGAAGCTTTCACTAATTGATATGTCATTTCCAACCACTCATTGAAATCATTGGTACGTGACTGCATGGCTTATGGATCTATCTCCCCTTTATAAGGTCATAAGTAATAAATGGAACTCTAAAAGTCATTGAGTCAATTGCACTGTATTACTGATTTGTATCGAATAAGATTATCTAATATGGAATTTCTGCAGACTGTTTATTCCGACTCATTCTAACGTCCGCAGACGAGCCGTTCTGAATAAATTAATTGTATTTGGAACCACCGAACCCCTTCTTCTTCTCTGAAAGTATATGTTTCAGTTGCTAGGTGCAGATAAATATATATTTTAGATTGTGAGATTTGTAAAGATTTGGATTAACCTAATTTCACTTGTTAGATTTCATCACTAACCAACATCATTTAGAGAAGTTACTGAAGACCAAAGTTAAAATTCACAGGTTATTGGATTCCGGCCCCAGTGGCTGATTGATTGACATGCTTGTTCTTGTAACCTAAGAGTCTTGGGTTAGATTCCTGGTGGTATTATGCGGGCGCACCAATGAAGAGCCCCGAAACGGATGTGCAGTGCCTCTTAGTTTTCAGTGATCTCTCTAACTGGTGTTGGCTCTTGACGAAGTCTAACAAATGGACACATAATTAGTCGAACTCTTTTATGTATATACGAAGTGTACGAAGCGTGACAAGAATATTTCTAACTTAAAACGCTTGGTACCTAATTTCTTGAATGATGAATTATAATTTAAACTGAATACTCATTCTTCAACTGGATGCTGAACACCGCTGAATATTTTCAGCCGCGAAGGTCATATATGCTGAAAAAGACTTCCATAATGAGCACCATAAACCTGATGATTTGATCTTTGTTAGTTCTTATAGGATGCACTATAATTTTCTAATGACTGGATGCTTTCAAATCTCAGCTGAATGTATGTTCTTACTATGGATCCATGACTAGTGTTTGACTGTAGATCAATTTAATATCTAGTTGCTTTTCAATTTGTTCATTGGCAAATCAGCTGTATAATCTCATCTTTAGAAAAGGTTATTCGACATTTTATTTTTGTATCCTGAATTTACTTGTAATCACAATAAAGATTCAAGTATAGAGGCGAGTTTCAAAATTTCAACGAGTCGAAAATTCCCTTTCTTGATATGGAACTAACAAGAAGAACTGATGGGACCATAAGAAGATCGATCCATAGAAAAGCTGCTTGGAATGGTGAACTAACAAGCTTCTATAGCTGGGTACCCATCCAACAAAAGCCGAATTCAATTAAGTCCCTTGCCACCCGCATCCGACGCATCTGTAGTCCCGATGTTCTAGAAACAGAATTAGATCTTTTGAGAGAAATCTTCATCCAAGATGGATAACCAACAAAATTCATCGACAAAAATATCAAACCAAGAATCTGCAGAAATGAAACTTCACCTGCTTCGAAAACGAAACTCTACATGAACTTGGATTTCAAGGAAGATGTAACAAGCGATATTCTCAAGAAAAGGATCACATCATCTCTGAGGAGAACATTCTTTGCAGCAAACTCTAAGAATAGATTTCTGCAGTCTCCCACTGATTTGCAGAAACCTCAAGGACAAGATCCCGCGTCTGACCACTTCTCTGTGCATATATCAGTTTATCTGCTGCTGTGGAGCCAGGTACATTGGTCGTTCGACGCGCATCCTGTCCGAGGGGATTCAAGAACACTACCCAGAATAGTTGTAAAATGGTAATAATGGTGCAATAAGGAATGTGATGACTGAACACCTGTCAACACTGATCATTCCATCTCAACAAACGCCTTCTTCATAATAATTTACAGAGTCAGGAATAACCTACCAAAGACAAAACTGTTTCATCTTCTTTGTACCCCTGAAGCTCTGGCTATTCACATAGAAAAACCGGAGTTGTGCATACAAAAGAGAATTAATCAACCATTCCTACTATCATGCTAACAACTTCGTTGATTTTTGATGCCTTTATTTTGCTTGTTTCTCTGTTCTTTTAGTTGCTTGTAATTCTTGTATTCATTTAAAACTCTTGCGTAGTTCCGTATTCTCTATTTTGTTCCTATGGGTATCCTGAGTACAACTCAGTTATCAAACTATTCATATTATCCCGCAACTCCTTTTCGACAGCTGTTTGTGACAACTCATCACCTCTGTTACTACACTAGTTTCATTAACATCCAATTTTCTTGGCCGATTTTGTAATACGCAACTCCACCCAAAACTCACTCATTTTCACCTGTTCGGTTAAAATAACCATAACTAATTGTATTTTTGTTTGACAAACTTAATGTACACATACATAAAAAATAACCCATATATACTTGCTACTGTACAGCTAAGAAAATGGATTCGCCGATAAGACACTCTTCGCTGGACTGCATGTTTTGTTTCAATTAATCCCTGGATAGGGATTATTTTAATGAATTTAATAATAATGCCAGTTTTAAGCTCAGTCTCCCTTGCCACTCGTGTAACTCTCAGTTTTCGACTAAAGATGCAATAATCAGATTAAAATTTATTGAAAGAAGTTTTGTGATAACTTTACTTATACTTATTTTTACACTTTTCAGATGGCATCGGATAGCATTCAGTATTAAAGGTGATTCAGTAACTTTACTTTTGGACTGTAAAGTCGTCACATCGATGTTATTGAATCGATCATTAACGGGTGACTTGAAATTGGATAATGGAATGCTTTATGTTCTACAAGCTAAGAATGGTCAATCCAGTTTCACTGTAAGTTTTTTGGTTCTATATTGAAAAGACTTTTATGAGCTGAATAATTCCTTCAGAAATGTAAATTTTATAGGGTTTTAGTTATTACTAACACTGGGTTATTAACTCAAAACAGAGATTTGGATGACGATATATACTGGAAAGCACCGAACAGTGGTCTTATCGCACACACGCATCATCACAAACATAGATACACCTCGGTTGAATCTTAGGAAGGTACTCAGGGAATGCAACATCGTAGTTTTCCTTAGAAAATCAAATAGATTACCGAACGGCCTTACCAATGTAAGGGATGAAATGTTGAAGGATTTGCAATTTGACTGTCACCACGAAATGGCGCCTTCAGACTGTTGAGAAGTGCATACAGAACAAAGTTCTCGATACACAAAGATTAGACACATTCAACACAGAGCTACTTTTCAACTGCTATGTAGTTTAGTAGAGATGAAAGGGTGTAGAATATCTTTAGTCAAAACTACATGTGTTATATTACGATGCCTTAAATTAATTGTAATGATATTGAAATTAGTTATATCATTTCATCATCAGCTGACATCTGTTAGAGAACGTCGAGGTTTTCAAAAATCCTTAAAAGCGTTTCAAATTAAAACTTCTTCATATATAAAGTGTGGTCTACATTTTCTAAAGCGGAATGGGACAACTGAACAAAGTTTGACCTGGTTCTAACATCAATCAGCCATAAATTAACAGTGCTACTGTTCATATTTTAACCATTCAAGTCAGTAAATATATATATGATGAGATCAAATATGGTAACTTCGGGTTGACGGACTACTATTGATTTTTCGGAGTCTTATCAAGATTTGTATTCCAGTTTCATCTTAAGACTGCTGATTTAAATTGTCACAGGGGGGGGTTATTTTATCCTCCCTCACCAACTGATGAATATTTGTTACAAATGTAACAAGAAAATGCACTTTAAGTTAGGATAGGCAAAATATTGAATCTTCAATAAAATTGTCTTCCATTAATAGAAAAAAAATGGATAGATAGACATTCTTAAAGTAAAATACTTCATAATTTCTACATTAACGACTTCTATAAGTATGAAATAAAGCTAGGCATATATAATACTGTTTGTTTGTACATATGTTAGCTAATAATGTCCAGTGAATCACCCTGAGCTTTATTTATTGTCCAGAAAATATAACAAGACAGTTTCAAAACAAGGAAGCACTCTGCCAAGCAGAAGAATATTATAAAGAATATATCAAACTTCCATTAAACGTTTCTTAAAAGTATGTGGACTAAACTTTTAATGACGATAAATAGTAGATTTCAAAGTGCATCTACCATCTAACATTAAAAAGATGAGTGTATTTGAAATCTCATTAACAGACATCAGCTAGAAACACATTATAATTAATTAAGTACAGAAATTTCGCCTTCCTAGCTGGCTATCTTAAGAGTTCAGAATTCAAAGTCTCATTAGTATTTCACTAGCACAGTTAGCACCTCACGAACTCTTCTATCCAACCTTAGTTTTGGCTGCATCACTGCTGTGAAACACTGAACAACTCTGGACGAGAATAAAAAAGCCATCCAGTTAAACTTGAATCCCACCAATTTCGGAACCAGTGTTATTTATGACAGAATCCATCGTGAAATGAATTATTGCAAACCCCAGATTTTAAGGCGAGGCTTCGCCTCATCTCTTCGACTTTTACAGCATCAATTGCTTGGCTATGGTATTTTTCACTCATTTGAGCTCCAAGTGGAGCATACGGTCTCAAACTTTGAAGTTTCAATAAGGATAATGTTGTTTCAAGAGTTGGAGTTGCTATTCTTGCTTTAGCCTTTCCTCTTTTCCTAGCTAACTCTAGACTAGACGATATTCGCAAGTGGTAAAGTAATTAAGTTTGTGGGAATTATGTTGTAGCATTATCGTATTACTGTTCATGAAAACTTTGGAAAGAACAACTTGACGTCATAATAATTAAAGTCTCGCCGGCTGCTGCTTCATATGCAGAATCGGACCCCTAAATTTCAAGATTCCTGGATTAATTCCTAAGAATAAATGTCTGTCGAATCGGAAAGGGTCCTCTTCGATACTCATTTCAAGTGTTGAAGTAATCTATATTTCAGATAGTGTCTCAGAAAAGGTAGCACTTTAAAATAACTGTCAGCGCAGATAAAGAAATATAACTGCTATTCATCTATAATTTGTTTTCTCTGGCCATAAATATTTGAAACATTTTTCTAGGTATATTAAATGCCAACAGTTATGCTGAATCAGTTATTTGGACCAAAATTCTCCGCATTTAATCACATGCACATATTTAGATTTTGTTTCATGGATTCCACTAATTTTATTGCAGCTTTTTTCAAGTATCGTCATCCTTTTTCGGTAAAGTTATACCATTATCCAGTGAAACTTTGCATCTATTTGTCGCTGGATTCCGACCTAGTGACTGATGATGTATAGGCTATGGATAATATTGCAACTTGGGCTCGTTCATAATGTTTCTTCAGCGTACAACAATATACAACTGACCACTTGATTGAGAAGGCAGAGATTTATATCTAAATGCTAAAGAGAAATATCACCAGGAATTATAGTTATTTATATAGTTGTTTAAGTTAGTTTCTCATTTCTTGGTAATAGATTATTTTTTTCAGAAATGTTCTGTCCCTGCTGAAGTGTTGGTTTGATGCGTGGACGCTTTGACAATGTCTGGAGATTAACATGATCTTGTCCTGGTTGATCGAGAATGGGAGTGAGATCTAACGTGATCAGTAACCTAGTGGATAACATTTCGATGTCTGGAAAAATGAGTGCAGGGTGTGATTTTCAGTGGGAAAACCACCACTCACTGAGGTGTAGATACACCTAGCTGTAGGGTCTCTGATAAGATGAAATGGGCACACTGCTTGTCACCACTACCTAAAATAACATGTTTGTGAAGTTATTTTACACATCTAATAGATTACTAGTTTAAGATATGAAAGATATGCTTACTAGGACTGTACAACTTTTCAGTGCTTCCTTGTTCTCACCGATGTCCATTTATAACATTTACATAGCATAAATGGGAGGAACCTGAAAGAAACAACCTCCTTCACCTACCCAGGAAGTGTCGTTTCAACTACAGGCCGATGGAACTGACGAGGATATCAAAGCCAGAATCGGAAAAGCAAGACAAGCTTTCATTGCTCTCAAGTCTGTGTGGAGGTCAACATCACTCAGCATCACAATGAAAATAAGATCCGGATTTTCAACTCCAATGTGAAGTCAGTGCTACTATACGGATCAGAGACTTGCACTGCACGTCATAAAGAGCATCTTAAACAAACCACATACCTTCTTTAACAGCTATCTCCGCTCAATACCAATCAAGATCAGATGGCTGGCCAGAAAAGATGAGCGACAACGATCTCTGGGAGCAAACCACCCAGGAACCGATTGTGCAACAAAGCTGCTGGAAGAAACGGAGATGGATTGGTTGGCCATACTCTGAGGAAACTATCAAGTGACATCACTAGATAAGCCACTGCTCGAGTGGAACCCGAAAGGGAAGTGGCGAGTTGGTCGTCAGTGCAAGGGTGACTTGGAGGAGGTCATGTGAAGAGGAGATGAAAGCATGTGGGCAGACTTGGAGCGGGGTGAAAACTCTAGCAGAGAACCGAACGCAATGGAGACATGCAGCTGAAGCCTCATGTTCCTTTAGGAATTAAAGGAAATAATAACATAGAAATTTATATATATATTTGCTGTAAATAAAAATAAAGTTTAACCAGAGTTGCATTTCCTGATGACTTCTAGTTTTGTCTTTAACCAGAGTGAGGAATTATTTTCCACTGAAGTATTTTTTTATGAAATAAACCACGGAGGAAATTCGGAATTTTCAAATTGGTTAGCAGTTTACAAGGTACACAGTTTTCTTTGGAAACCAAATTATTCAGATCACAATATTCGATCTGTTTGATTTGATAAGACAATGAAACGCTGATATATTTTTCTGAATAGACTTCATTTAAGTTCATTTATCGATTCATGTAAAGCTAATAATTGATTTTTTGAATACATTTCTGTTAGTAGAAGAAATGTTCATCTGTAAGAGTTTATTATTCTACATGTTTACATAATAATCCGTAGATAATTTCCCCTTTATTCAATGTTCTGATTTTTATTTTTAGGGTGCAGTAGAACAACTGCTTATTATTCCAACACCAAGTGCAGCCTATGATCAGTGTGATATTTATTCTCCATGCAATGACTTGAACAAAAGTGGTGAAGAAATGCAACTCCAAGAAGCAGTAAGTTAAAACAAAAATCTTATTATTGTAGACATTTAACTGGGAAGATATCGAAAACGAACAGTATCCGGCAGATAAATTGAATCTTTTAGCTGTCTCCAGTCAACTTTTCTCTTTGAAATCTCGTCGATATGATTTGTTTTCCTGAAGCTACTTACAGTCCTTGAGAAATAGGCATAACTCTTAGCATAGTCACTTTTCTGTCACCTTTTGAACCGTTCGAAATTACTCAGCTTCATCAGAATCCTTTTAACTAAAGTCGTTAGAGAATTTGGGGTATGGAAACTGTCCGGTGTTCTAGGAGCTTTCGTATTTGATGATGGATGTTTACTAAGCGGGCTTAATGACATCTTCACCACTAATTTCATTAATATTAACGCTCCCAAAATACTAGGCGATTTCCATCCACGTCTTGTGCCATAGATCCAACCTATAATTTCAATTTCAGATCTTGTTGACATGTTAATAATGCAACTAGTTTGGACAATAAGTTGAGTAAAAATATAGCAAAGTGAATTACTTATGATTTCTTCATTTTATTTGTCTTTCTTCAATGTGTAACACAACTAAACAGTAACTACTGGAAGCGCTTATTTCTTCCGACATCAGTCAATGGTCAATCTTGAAACAAATTGATTCCCTACAAAGTAACACCTGAAAATTAATCTGATGCTTGCAAGTAACGGCTTCAGGACAACATTGCTTGGAGTTCTAATGAGACGTCGTGACCATCGGGAGCCACCCGGTCGGGTGTGAGGACAAATACTCACCAATGGTACTGGCTGGTGGTCGCTGTATATACCACGAATTGGTAGAAGTTAGAATTCACAGACCATTAGATCGGGTCCCACTGTCTAAATGGTCTAGGTACTTTCCTTGTAACCTGAAGGTCTTAGGTTCGAACCTCAGTCAGTGAGTACTACCAATGTGTCCCAAAACTGGGATGAGACAGTCGTGCAGCACTCTGACTGATATGAATTCGTTATCATACTTGAAACAGATTAAATATCTACCAACTAACACTTCTTTGTAAACAGGATGTGTAATATGGATATTTATCTTCCCACTCGAACTGTTTTAATTTTATTCATCTTCCCACTAAAGTCGGTTCATGCATATAGTAAATAATTTTGAGTTATTCATCTTACTTCAAAGGCTAAAAGAATTTTATGACTAAAAATGTCAACACTCATGAATATAATGTCAACTTTATCACTAGCAAAATCAAAACATTAGCAATTATATTTTATGTCTTTTACAAATAAGTGTACAAACCACGTCATGACTATGAAACATAAAAGTTTGGAATTTTTAAACTTTTTATCACTGCTGGCTTAGCTAAGTCCTAAGGAATCCACACATAAAAAAATATACTTCCACTGTAGATAATTCAAATATTTGATGAAGCCTGTCACACTTCTGTTGACTTGTTGATTCAAAGAAACTGAAAGGTAGACTTGTGGTCATTAAACTACATTCTACATGTCAGAGGACACTGTATCCAATACTTGACTGCAGTAAACTTCATTAAAGGAAGCCATTTGTTATAAATGGTGTTTTAGATAGTAAAGAGACTGTAAATTTAATCTGAAAGGATAAGAGTTCTCTTTTAACAGCTTTTAAGACAGTTGAATGATTGCAGACAAGGCTTGACACCTACTTGCTTATAGCTTTGAAAGTCTGTCATGAAATATTAATGCATATATTTAATTGGATTCAGTGGATTTTAAAGACATCTTGACTATGTAACTGTCTGAAGAAAATATTCGAACTCTTCACTGAAATTAAACATATAATTAGTATCATTGCAGCATCATAGAGTACAACTGCTTCTGTCCAGAACTCTGATGTGGAAAAAATTTAAATTCCTAAAGTTAAACTATTTGGAATTAACTTATCTTGTAACTGAATTTATTCCCAGCATTTATCTGTGCTTACATATTAAAAATAACCATAGATGTCTCAAAAAGTAGTGTGTAATGTACTCCATAAGAAATGATCGCCTTTATTCTCTCTAAATTTGTGGAGTTATTACTTACCACCTCTTAGAATTGGTTCCAGAATGACATTCTCATCTCTCAACAGTTACACTTCTCACACAGATTCCATTTTACGTAAAAATGGAGGTTGATTCATTACAGCATCATTCTGTACCGAATATAAAAATAGGAAATGAGGGTTATTTATTAGTGGTTGGGCGGTAAAAATGTGTCACCGAATAGTTGATCAGTTATGAAGTTTTGAAAACATGAGATCTTAGTAGTTGTTGCCTTAAGGCAGTTAATTCTATCGCACTATTCTAAACGTTAATGAAATTGTCTGGTTATCAAGGATTATTCAGTGTTCCCGTTCAGATCATTTATACCAGCAAGAGTTTTATGGGGTTATTACATCATTATGTAATAGAAAATACGAATCCTTATTAGATTAAGGAAAATCAATAACTTACAAGCTAGTATACAATTGGTGGATGGTGGCTATCAGTGGAATCCAGGATGCGCATTTCGTCCTAATTGGAACTCGTCATCTGGATGTACCTGCATTTCTCGGTGAGTGATGATATTCCCACCGAGGCTCGAACCCAGTACCCATAGTTTCAAACGCCAAAGCGTTATCCACTAGACCACTTGGGCCACGAGAGTCACCTCTTGTGCAACGGGTCATATTAATTATTGAATTGAATTTTTGATTTTCCCGTCGATTGATTGGACCGAAGTGCTCGGTTTCAGTTTGTCATGTCGGCTTCTTGTGCAGATGCCTCGACCTGAGAACGAGCACTTCGACCCAATCAATCGACGGGAAAATCAAAAATTCAATTCAATAATTGATATGACCCGTTGCACAAGAGGTGACTCTCGTGGCCCAAGTGGTCTAGTGGATAACGCTTCGGCGTTTGAAACTATGGGTACTGGGTTCGAGCCTCGGTGGGAATATCATCACTCACCGAGAAATGCAGGTACATCCAGATGACGAGTTCCAATTAGGACGAAATGCGCATCCTGGATTCCACTGATAGCCACCATCCACCAATCGTATACTAATTAAATGCCCAGACATCGTCGAAGCATCTGCACAAGAAGCCGACATGTCAACCTGAGACCGAGCACTTCGATCCAATCAATCGACGGGAAAATCAAAAATTCGATTCAATAACTTACAAGCTAGTTCATTTCATTTGTGCGTCAGAGACAATGTCATACAGGCTCATAATATTTCGGTTCATGGGCAAATGTAATATAGAACTTTAGCCTCATTGCTAGTGTACAATGAGTGATCTAGTGAAAGAATGAAGATTTTTTTCAGTGCCAAAAGTCAATAATGACATCGCTGTTGTGGCTATTAGTCGTTTAACAATCTCAAAAATGGTATAACCGAATCACTTGACCATAAATTGACAAAGTTTTCACGTAAATGACTAAATAAACCCAAACTTTTGGGAATATTAATAATCTACAAATTTTCCCATTTTTTTTTCTATTTAAAAAACATTTTGTATTTTCTCTTTCATTATTCCTCAGCAGTATATACATGAACAGACAAGAAACTTTGTAAGTTCTCTATTTTATTCCTATATCTTATGGTTAATGTATAGTTTGTTTATAATATTAAATTGCATTGTGGAATTTTGTGTAGAACGGATTAAAAGTGGAGGATACCATTTCATTTGTTAGGTGGTTAGAGGCAATTGGCTAAAAGCCCGGGAGCTAGGTTTCATGCTTGTTGGCACTCGTCAGCATAGCGTATCTACAACCTTGAAGAAACTCATAATCCTCCTGAGATTCAAACCTATGTCATTCTGTGCTGCAGCCAGAGATGGTACCACTAAGCTACTTGGGCTCGCAACTGACCTCCCGGGGGGACTGTACTGGATACTTTGATTAGATGCTGGTGTCTCACCTAATTTCATCTAAATTGGGACAGGAAAATATGTAAGATAAGCACTGTCCTTGCTAGTTACCACACGTTTTCAAAACTATTGATTAAAATCATGGAATTTCACCATTTCACCACTTTTACTTTCAAGTGAAATATGAATCACGTCAACCATTTTGCGTCATTATTACACCCCTGCTAAAGCATGTAGCATTGCATATTCTTCAACAAGAATGGAAGATTTATGTATTAACATTTGACAAAAACACGAGGCTTTTTAGACAATAGTAGAAAAATGAAGAAACAGCGTATGGTATGAACGCCGATTTTTATTAATACTCGTTCAATTCCTTCTGTCCCAGCCTAAGAATTACTAAATTAAGACGTCTTCATCATAACATTGATTGTCTAAAGATGTGCGAATTTATTTGCATCTTGACAATGGAATACTTGGCTCATCAATTTGTGTTTATCCTGTGTTTATCATATTAGGTGTAAAATGATCACGAAAAGTGTCTTCAGGATTTATTCAGTAACACATTTTGGGCTTCGATTATGGATTAACAGTACAGTCTAGTCAATCAGCCGATTCACACAGTGGTTTCGCCAGGCGATATAGTCTGCACTGGTGTCAGATCTTAGAAATCTCACATTTAGAAGTTCTGTGTCTGAGTCTCGGCTGTCGATATTGCTATTATTGTTGGTTGAATAACCTTTGTCAAAATTTATTTTCAATTTCATACATTTATTCCCCTTAATGAATTTGAACAAAGCACAAACTACAGTTTTAGCAGCATAAAATGGTACCATCTTTTATTTCGTTGCCTTCTCATCAGCTGCTTACATGGCAAAGACATTATTAAATATATCTACAACAACAATTTTAACATTCTTGCTTAGAGTTCAGTTTAAACAAAAATCAATCGATCAATATACTCATACACCAAAAATATATACATATATAAATATGCAATATTAACCACTATTCCGAACAATAATAATCAAACACAATGGAAACTTTTAGCATTTCACATTCGGAGGAAAGAGAGGTGAAATTATCCAGTTACCAGGGCAAAGAAAGGCTGATAACCGCTTCTTTCTGGACGCATAAATCAGGTTTCATGCGCTTGATGGAAATGGCTTCAGCAAACTTAAGGAGAATTGAGCTATTTTGCTTATTGATAATTTTGAACGACTTTTCGACGTCCACCTCATGACCCGTGTCGAGAAGATGCCTGGTGATGGCACTGTTTAAAGCATTTGTTCCCTTTAGACGTAAGCTTTTTGGTACATGTTCAGAAAATCGTAGATATGCCCTTCTTTCCGTCCTTCCAATGTAACTGCTCCCGCAGATACATGTAAATTTGTATACACAGTTGGAGGTAACATGAGAAGGATATCTATCGATTTTTGATTGCACCAAAGAGCAAGTTGTTCGATAGACAGGAACGAGCTTAGCTGCAGGATAGGCTATGGCTAGTGATGTACTCAGCCTTCTGTTGATCATCACTGCAATGTTTTCACCTTTATAATCAAGCTGAATGCAGACTGGCATTTTCCCCGCTGTAATTTGTTTTACATTTTTGACTTCAGGTCTTCCATACTTGTTGATGAACCTTTGAGTATACCCATTGCTCTTCAATATATTTTCAAGGAACCCAAACTCCTCCTCTAGTTTCTCTGTAGAGCATATTCTCCTCGCTCTATAGTACAAAGTTTTGACTAGACCACGTTTTAAGCTATGTGGACAAAAGCTATTAAAATGCAAGTATTGTCCTTTCCATGTGGGCTTTCGATAAATTGACTTTTGAAGACTACCGTCTTCTAGGCGTTCCATGGCTATGTCGAGGAAGTGAAACTTTCCGTCACTTTCGTGTTCCATAGTGAAGTCAATATTGGCGTGTGCACCATTGAATTATCTTAGAAAGTGTGAAACATGACTTTCATTTTTGCACACTATAAATGTGTCATCAACATAACGACAGTAGGAAGATATTTCGTCGATTGCATGCTTCAGCTTTGTTCTTTCAAGGTTAGACATGAATATATCTGCTAAAACAGGGCTAAGCGGACTGCCCATAGCTACACCATCTATTTGGCGGTAAAACGTGTTGACTAATGAGAAACCGTTGCTTAGATATCAGAATGAAACATACAGATTACTTCCTTGATAGATTTTTCTTTACCAGTTTATTCCAAAAATATCTTTGTATTCTTATACATTAAAGTCCATTCCAAATACAATTACTTTTGAGTATCCCATTTTCTTTTAGGGTCCACAAGGTGAAAAGGGTGAAGTTGGTCCTAAGGGTGAGAAAGGTCAACCTGTGAGTTACTTTAAAAGTTACCACTTATTTTTTATATAATTTCAGTTTAGTGGAATTGATATGTTTAATGCATTCATACAATCTTTTGGCATAATTCTTTTTTACTACACAAGTACCGATTATCAATTCAAGAGAGCTAAGTGCTTTTTCAGAGGAGATGTCGCTCACCAGCTTAAAAACTCGGCGTTCCGCCAACGGTTGCCGTGTTTCAGTTTCATGCTACCTACTTGATCCTACGCAAACTCGTAGGTATCAGAAGCCCCCATACAGCAGGTGTGGTACATAGTCTGGTACCCAGTAACTCAGTTTCAACTGACACTAACTAACTAGATAATTTTACACCAGTTTTGTTTTCAAAATGAACAGCATCATTGGCTTCAGTTTTATGCTCAGATATATTTAAACCATTGTACCAAAGTAATTAGAAAGCCGATGGTGTCATAATAGTCGAATCGGAAGACCCTTTGTTTGTTTTTTCATTCAATCACAAATTAGTTTGGATGCATTTTCCGTAAATCACCATCATTGGTGTAACTATTTTCACCAATTTCCGTGTAGGCCAGGAGTCGCATCCAAATAAACGATCGTAATAATATTATATAACTTCCAAAAAACTAACTGGTATGGTTCAAACCTATTGTCTGTTGGCTGGAAGTTGCGTATTCATACCAACAGGCTGAAGTTGTACAATTAAAAGTTTGAGCAAACTGTTTCCCAAATATCGACTGCCATTGTATGGAAAGTGAGATATGCCTTCCTGATCAATAACAGGTTCCATCGATTTCAAAGTGAACATACCAGTGTTATGTCATGTTCATATATGCTAAAATAATCTGAACAGCTTACTACACCATTATAAGTAAGAAATGTACTTATGACAGCCTTACACGGTTTCTCTCCTCAACCTCCCTACTATTGATGATCACGTATTACTATTTACAGACTTCATTTCAGTGGATGGCAAGTTTCCCATATCATAATGTAATCATAGTTTGATACAATTAGGGACATTTTTATTGAAATGACCGCAACTGAAGTGGTTTCATACGACAGCCTGCATGAATAACTGGATTGCCTGAATTTTCTATCCAAAACACTGTCTCTTATTATCTGTAATTGTCGTTATTATGATCATTCAGTTATATCCGTGGGTCACCGAATGTACTCATACACATTTTTAATTGGTTTCCAACCTGCCAGTGTGTATTTCTGAGGGACCAAAAGAAAAATACTATAGAGGATTATTCTGTTCTTCAGATCGGATATCAGTGTGTCACATGATGTATATGAGATGGCTGTTTTACTTGAAACTCCTGGATGAAGAAAAAGTAATATACAATGAAATACGTTGAAAATTGCGGAAATTTTTTAAACTTATTGTGCAGATTAAAGTTATTATTACTATAATTTCTAACAAATGTTGCGTTACGGTCACTTTATTGTTAAAAGTATTGATATCTAATTTAGTCGACAGATATTTGAAAACTGAACATTTTTTATATTATTTTTGTTCACTTGTGTTTCGATTGTAACATACAGCTTCTGCAGGACACCTCCAATTTGTCCTAATCTCCTATGACCTCTCTATCTAGCCTTATGACTGCCCATATTATCTGACCTTCTCCTTGCACTACCTCCTTCATGTCAACCTCGGACACACCTCCAACTCGTTGTTTCTTATTAAGGTTCCACTCGTAGACCGGGTGTGAGATATCTTTCAATGGTCTCCTCAGCATTTGTACGATCCATCCCCATTTTCTTCAGGATATCTGTTGAGCAATAGGTTACTGATTGATTCTTTTATATAGTTTTTTGCTGTTAGTTCTTCCTGGACATCTCATCTTCAATATAGAACCAGCGTAGGAGGCAGTTGATAAAAATCCGCAGCAGCCTGTTGGAAATGCTTTCAGTGATGTTCTGGACACGTTTCTGACCCATTAAAGAAGAACTGACTTACATTTCTGTTGAATATCCAAATTTTGTTGTTTATGTTGAGTGTAAAATGTTTCCAAGTTGATTTTAGATTGATAAATGCCTGTCTTGCCTTTCCGATTCCGGTTTTGACTTCCTCACATGTGCCACCATTAGCTGAAACGATGCTGTTTAGATAAGTGAAGGAAGTTACCTCTTTTCAAAGTTTATTCCTTTGATAGTAATAGGCGTTTGTTGTTGTTTGATTGGTTGGGTATCTTCTTCACCTCAGCCTTCTCTATGTTTATTTGCAGTCTTGTCTTTTTCGAACGTTAGAAAAACCTAAATACGTTCGGTAGCGGAAAGATAGCAAACTTTAGTACATGACATTGTGCTCTGATCCACAATGATACAAAATGGCGTGATAATCACAGATATTGTAACAACAGAAGACAAGGGCCATGCAACAGATCGTTTTATTACGAAAATCAACACGTATTTATATAAATTTCACATACATTATTATAGCCTAGTCAAGTAGACAAACGCAGTCATCTGATTGGTTGTTTTCGAGTTTCTCGGAAAGTGGAGCCATCTATCTGCGAATCATATTTGCCCACGTTTAAGTTTGCTGTGATTGGTTGTTGACAGCCTTGTTCATATTTTCTCACGGCCCATATTAGTGGCCTAGACATTGATGTAGATTAATGTCAACCAATTGGCTAGCAGGCTGCTCTCACCACAATAGCTCACCGTCAGTCTGCAATTAAATAAGAGAATATGTCAAGTGTGTAATCATTTTTTATTCCTTTACTTTCTCCATGGAACATGGGGCCTCGAGCTAGAGCTCTGAAGTTTCGGTATCAGCGGTGTTTATTTTTTAAGGGGGGAGTTGCTAGCCTCATTCCCAACCTTCCCTCTTTACCAGTCTTATTACTGGATCAGCGAAGTGAAGACGTGTGTCGGCCAGAGGTTGGACGCCGAACCATATGCGTGGTTGGTAAGTACTACACAGCTGTGCCACCGGCGCAACCATGTTCCAAAGTAAATCCGTATTATGTTGGATAAAGCATGTTGATGCGTAAAAATAACTTTTGCAGTACACTAATATATCTACAGTGAAAATTAATACGTTGCTGGAACATAAGTGAACTTATTCCCGGAATTATTTTTTTAAAATTTATAACATCTCCGTTTTTCATGAATTATCTCCAAAAGAATAATATAGTCATGTTCTAATAAAGAATTGGCGAACATCTTCTCAGTTCACCCACTGTTATCCTATCCTCTTTTGAAGTGATACAAAAAGTTATTCTTTCTACGAACTAACTAGCTCTAACACACAAAAGTAACCCACATTGGGTTTACTAACTTTTAAGTTGTTTTCTGACTTGATAATAGCATCTTCATCCATTCTCAGTCTTTCCACAAATTCACCAAGTAACAGAATTAAACGAAAAGATATGCTTGTATTTGGATATACATTTTTAATTCCCCACCGATGATATAACAATAAAAACAATTTGTACAAAATAATTTATAACATTTATAAACTCCTCACGTCATAAAGAGCATCTCAAACAAACTACAGACCTTCATTAACAGTTGTCTTCGCTCAATACCACTCAAGATCAGATGGCCCGCCAGAAAAGATCAGCAACAGGGATCTCTGGCAATAAGCGAACCAACCGGGAACCGATTGTGAAACAAAGCTGCTGGAAGAAACGGAGGTGGAATGGCTGGCCATACTCTGAGAAAACCATCAAGTGACATCACTAGACAAGCCATTGCTCGAGTGAAACCCGAAAGGGAAGCGGCGAGTTGTTCGTCAGTGCAAGGGTGACTTGGAGGAGGTCATGTGAAGAGGAGATGAAAGCATGTGGGCAGACTTGGAGCGGGTTGAAAACTCTAGCAGAGAACCGAACGCAATGGAGACATGCAGCTGAAGCCCTATGTTCCTCTAGGAATTAAATGAAATAATAATAATAACAAATTAACTCCTCGAGTGTGGTATAAATGACTTGGATTTAATTCTCCATTTGATATTTTACTCACACATTTTTAAAATCTGTTTATAGGGACGAGATGGTCGTAGTGGAATTCCTGGAGCTCCTGGTCTACCTGGTGTACCAAGTCATATATTGATGATGCCATTACCAAGTTTTGGAAAGAATGAATTGAGTCGTATGGCTAGTTTTAGAACAACAGTACAACAGGCTGTAGTAAGTTACAATTCATTCTGTTTTATTTACAAATTCAAATTTACCTTCTGTTTGTCATTGAGCATTCCCAATTTGAAACCAAAACTTAACTTCATCTTATCTGAATCACATTCAAGACTGCTGTGATGTGGAAATTGTAAAGATACATTTTTTGATGGATATTTGTCATTTTTCATCAACTTCATGGATCGTAATTTACTAACTTAAAATGAACAATGGTATTTGAAAACTTCTTTTGAATGCCAGTACATTAAAAATGGAGGAATGTATTATACAAATAAAATCACACCCCGAACTTGCATTTGGCAGGAGCGAATCGCATGCCAAACATTCATAGATTGCAGCTCAAGGTGTTTAGAAGACTGCATTTTTTCAGCGTCCTCGCCTAGTAGGACTATATCGTCTGCATATTTCAAGTCAACGGAACTGTTATTCCCTGGTAGCAAGTCAATCCCTGAGTCGCTGAAGTGAGTTAGGGTTAAGTTCATTAATACATCTGTGATGAAGTTGAATAGAAAAGGGGATAATTGGCATCCTTGACGGACACCAGTTCAGATGACAACTCGCCGTAAGCCCTCACTTGGCTGTATGAGTACGAGTAGAGTGCCTTAAATATGATAGAATTCGATTGTGTTTTCTGATGTCGGATGCAAGGTTTTCCGTTTTTTTTTTTGAACAAACAAGAAAAAGAGTGCCTTAATCAGTGCAATGTATTTTATCGGCATTCTCTTTACAGCCAAGCATCTCCAGGGAACCTCTCGGTCGACAGAATCGAATACTGCCTTCAGGTCAAGGAATATAGTGATTGTTGGGCGCCGGTAAGAATGCCTATGTTCGAGAATCTGTCGGAGGATGAAGATATGATCAATACACCCTCTTCCTGGTCTAAAGCCTGCCTGGCTCTCTCGTGTTTGTGCCTCCCGAGCACCACTTAGTCTACGCATGATTATTGAGCCTAAGACTTTAGATACTATATTAGTCAAGCTAATCCCTCTGTGATTATCACAGGAAGACTTGTCTCCCTTCTTGTATATGGGGATAATCAGTGACTTATACCAACCCGATGGGACTTCTTCTGATTCCCAGACGCTGCCTAGTACCTCAGTTAATCCGGACAGTAAGCTGTCTCCACCGTACTTAAATACCTCTGGAGTCATTCCATCAGGTCCCGCTGCTTTGCCTAGTTTCAGATTGGTGACAGCTTTAGAAACCTCAGTTAGGAATAGAGGACCTGTGTCTTTATCCCATTCAGGGAAGTGTTGGATGTTTGGCAGGTTGAGCGTGGCTGTGGGCCAATTAAACTGCTCCTCATAGTGCTCTTTCCAGCGTTCCAGTCATCTATCCTTGGAGCTAATTATGGTGCCATTTTTCTCCGAGATTGTTTCACTTATGATTTGTCTTCTCCCACTCGTTTCCCTGATGAGTCTAAAGAGTTGCCTAGTGTTGCCTTGTGACTTATGATTTCCAATGAAACTGTTTTGTTCTTCGTTATTACTCTTCCTTTGTCTCACACCTCTGCTTACTGTCTCTATTTTGTTTTGTTTTTTTGTATTTTCTTCTCTTCCTTTGTGTGCTACAAGGAGTGTGGTGACTTGAACTGCCGCACATATGTGCAAAGTTCTATGTCGAAAACAGACGGACAGACACCCCAACTGAGCGTGGCATTTACGCGGAATTGAAGAGACTCCAATATATATAGCTATGAGGTTTCCTTTTAATATTATCATCAATACACATAAGTCTAGAAATCAGACTAATAGTGTTTGTCATACCGCTAAGCTATTTGAACACATTAAATTGTTCATGGAACCTCGCGTATGTATTAACAGTCCTGAAACTATCCCCCTAGTCATCTTCTTTGGAGAAGCGTATACTTCAGAAGTGAACCGTACAACTCAGAGAAAACGACAGAATCAAAATCATCTCTCTCGGTCTTATCTCTTTTTCATCATTTAACAGCCATCTTTATCATCAAATTATGACATTAAAGGATCATCCAATAATACATTTAAGAATTCGAAGGCCTCAGTCAGTTATTAAGCTCACCTTCTGCTCCTTATCCGTTCTCTCAACCACTTTAATACCTCACCTCCCCTAGTGTCTGGGAATAAAGGATAAAATTCTACCGACTGTCTAACATTTTATCTACAAGCGTATCTACATTTACAGAAATACATACATAAGCAGAACTAGCAGCATGTTACTGAATGGCTACTAAATCAAGTGGGTATTCCAAATATAGTTAGTCCGAATAGACGTCTAGCACCAGTGATTGTGAAACATTTATCAATGTCTCATCATGAAATCAATGTTAGTCCATATTCCTCAATCATTTCTTACAAATCTAACTCAGTACTTATCCATGGTGATGAAAAAACACTTTGAATTAATAACATACAGCCTTTACTATCCACAAGAAAATATAGGATCTTCTGGTTTGTCTAACACGGATTACTTGACCTGGTGTAACAACAGAAGATAAGGGCCAGGCAACAGGTCGTTTATTAAGGAAATCAGCACTTATTTATAGATTTTCATGTACGTATGACAGATTACTGTTAGCAGAAAAACACAGTCTTCTGATTGGTTGTTTCTCACAGAAAGTTAACCTTGCATCTCTTTGTGGCTGTTTCTTGAATGTCAGATCATCTATATGTTAACTATATCCGCCAGCGCAAAATCTGCTGTGGTTGGTCGTTGAATCAGTCTTTGTTCACATTTTCTCACGACCAATATTGGGGACGTAAACATTGACGTAAATTACTGTCCACCAATTTTGACTAACAGCCAGCTCTCACCACACTAGTAATTTAACGTCTTCTAACGGCATACAGTCAGTTAATCTGGATTTCGGGTGTCTTTGGATTTTTATTGATTTCATTGTCGAGTTCTGCTGATGATAGGATCGTGGGTGGACACTGGTGAAGAATCCCAGACGAGGACAGAGATGCTGCCTAGTGCTACTTGCTTTTCAATGATTCTCTAGCCCATATCTCTTACTAACGAAAGGCACCCTACAATTAATCCCCAGACACTGTTACTACTGTCCAATATGCTAGTTAAAATCTGGTTTGATTCTACATAAATTGTTTCATATATGAAGAGCATTTGGTTTAATATTTCTAATCACTTTTACATCAAGCCATACTAAGAGCCAACATTTTGTAAAACATTCGCCTCTAGTGAGATTATATCAAGTGGACGATATTCAAAAGTGTTAATCATTTGATATTTAGTGGAAAATCATTCAGCATTACAAACTGAGCAGTACTCATTTTTAAAATTAATTACATTATCATTTTTATGGTCTCTGCTTTTTGTAGATGATGCTGAAAGGTAACCGAGGTCAACAAGGTATGACTGGTTTGCCTGGAATACAAGGTCCACCTGGTCCAAGAGGTCCTAAAGGTGACCAAGGACTTATTGGTGAACCAGGATTTATGGGACCAACAGGTTTAAGAGGACCTCCAGGTCCAATTGGTCCTCGTGTAAGTTTGTGATCACTTATTCGACCTTCTGCTGTACTTTTAAATTTGGATATCACAGTAAATATTCAGTTTAACTATTGTTTAATGTTTCACTGAATGGTGGTAAGTATACCTCATTCTATAAATTTCCCGTTTTGCGTTCATAGCTCTCATGACCTTATTTACATAAGAAAACAATAATTATGTCTTTCAGGTTGCTAAATTTTATCTGTTATCGGTATAAAAATAGTCAAATACACTGTGAGAACATATTTGAGTGGGGTATGATTACAGACTTTGATTTCAGATTGTAAAGTAACAGGATAGCATGTATTTATATTTCTAATATAGAAAGAGAATGCGTTTATAGGAGTGATATATGTATGATGACTAATAGGTTCATACAAATGCGATGAATAAGAAAAATTTACCTTAGCTTTAGGTTTTCGTACATCAGCTGACAGTGGTCCTTGTTCAACAGAATACTACTAACGTAATGAACAACTGTAGGTCAAGTCAAGATTTTTGGGGCTACAATCTAAACGGTACTAAGTAATAAGTTCTACGAAATTCTGAGGTATTAGATCTCTCAGTCTGATAATTGTGCTCCAGACACTCCAAATGGTCTTAGGATCATGCTGCTAACTTTTGCAAGTCAAAACAAGTCAGCTACCAAGTGATACTTAATTTAAAATAGCTTCCTGGCTGATGAGGACCTGCATAGTTGGCAAAGAGATTTTCGAAAGTTATCAAGACTGACTAATGGTTTCACCTTCTCCTTCCTAAGGATTTCAATCTTCCAGCCTTTATTTGTTTCCCCTATATTTATTTTATTTTTTGGCTTTGGTGAACCTGCTTCATTTGAAAGGGTTTTTAATTCTTATCATCTGCTGTGAAGGTATTAGTACCTAAATAAGGGCTGTATTACACTACAATACCGTATACTTCAATATGACTCTTGGTAGTCTATGGTACAGAGGTAGGTTTCTCGCCAACCAAGCATATATTCTGAGGTTCAGTTCCCAGTTGACCAACTCCTAAAGGTCGGTATTAATCCATGTAAAGAGGGAAGGTTGGGTGTGGGGCCATTAATCCCCTCCCCTCTAAAAACAAAACCAATTTTGCTGGAACTTTTTTTCTATTCTACAATTAGTGTCTAGGTGGTAAATATATGTAATGTCATGAGCAGTAATTTATTGTTTTCAGGTGAGCTACAGTCAGTGATCGAAGCATCAAGAAGTAACTGACATAATTTTCAATTTAATTGAAACTCCTCAAAGTATGTAGTGCCATGCTCCATAACTAAATGATTCTTTCCTTCACAAAATCCAGAATCCACATTATTACTGAAAGTCTAGGGTGAGACAGCCCTCCAGGGCTCTTTTGTTTTCGCTCGTATTGCTGCTGATTTTGAGATCTATCCACAGGGCCTACAAATAGAGAGTCGTTTAATAGTGAAAGCAATAACTTTGACTAAATGATGCATTAATATTCACAAGTATATACTCAAGACAAAGCTCCAGCTTAATTTCCTGAATGAAACTTAGGTAAATACTTTTTGTCTTTGCAAGACAGAGGTTCAAGCTTGTACGCATGTATTATTTAGTGAAATTTTCAACTCTTCTTAACTCATACAGTAAATAAATGGAATTATTCTCACCGTACACTTGCAATTCATATCCTCCTACTTTACTAATGGGTAGTTAAAGGGGAAACTGCTAGCACTTTCTCAATCATGATAATCATTTTAGTGGTTTATAAATAAGGAAGTAAGACGTGCTAAACATCATATCTGAAAACAATACAAATAATGAATTGTCATTATTTCCTTGTTAACAAAATAACCGTTGCTTCACACAAAGTGTTTAAAGGCTCATTTTTCATTCTTCACTATCTACTAATCATCCACTATCCTTTTATTTTAATAGGGAAGACCAGGTGTCGATGGTGAGATTGGAGCAAGTGGTTTAGCAGGTCCAAAAGGCCTACCTGGTCTACCTGGATTACCAGGTCTTCCAGGCCATAGAGGTCATAAAGGAGAAATTGGACCACGTGGTGTGAAAGGAGATATTGGTCTGAGAGGAGCACCTGGTCCTTATGGACGAGATGGAGAAGTAGGCCCTCCTGGTGAACCCGGTTCCGCCGGACTTCAAGTAAGTGATGAGTATGCTGACAGTTAACGCTCTGTTTTACAAAAGTAAGGAATGCAATGATCAATTAAATAGCAGTATTCCGATGTCATGGTAGCCCTTTCTAGTCGAACCTACGAGGTGAGGTAATGCAGAACTGATTTATTCACATTTGTAAATACTTGCTAGGTAATTTGGTTGCCATCTGACAGTTAATGTCTTTCAATACACTGACTCGTTAATTTTAAATTACACTTTAAGGAACCACAATTTGTATTATGAAATCTTTAACCATAGAATTACAGATATACCTACTACAGCTTTAAATATTTCGAATCTATCTTTCTGTAATAGAAAGGCATAATTCTTGAAAGTATAACTTAGCAGGAAAGTCGGATATTCCCCCATAGATTTAACATCTTGAAACACAACCCACTCAACTTTCAGCTCTTCATTCATCACATGGTTTTAGGAAACAGAATTCCTAGTCAACATAATCTTATTTACTTAAAAAGGCAAGCTAATATGTCCATAAACCTTAGCAATAATGATAAGACCAAACTGAAATATCACTTGACAGTCTATTTGTCTATAATAATTAATTATTTAATTGATGTTTTGTAAAAAAAAACAAGCATATGTGTGATAAACATTATTTTTATACATACACTTAAAAGCAACTGACAGTTTCTTTTTCTTTATCAATTAGGGACCTATGGGACCTGTTGGACCATCTGGATTACGTGGATTACCAGGGCGATCAGGACCGAATGGACTCAAAGGTGAAGTTGGAGATTCAGGCGAAATGGGTCCACCTGGTCCACAAGGGCCAGTGGGTCCACCAGGTGTACCAGGACCACAAGGTATACGTGGATTAACTGGACAACCTGGAGCAAGGGGACCCCCTGGAGTAACAGGTCTACCAGGCAGTCCTGGGATGACTGGAAACCCTGGACCACAGGTAAAAAATAGCATTCTAATCATGGACCATATGACTATGACTGTGGTGAAATTTTATAAACCTTTCCATTGATTGTGAAATCTATTTTATCATATTTCATCATAATGCTTCTGTATATATCATAATTCACTTTATGGCATTATAGCTACTGTAAAAGTGATTTCCAATCTGAAATTACGGGTAATACGATTTAAAAAAAATAATAAATATAGCAAGGCCACTTATTAATCCTATGGAAGCAAACCATCTGTCCACAGACATGCTGCCCTAATTGTCTAATGGATGAGAGACGATCTGAGATGGCCGTGTTCATTAATACTTGCACGCAACCAGAGTCCAATAATGAAGACTTCAATCTGAAATGATTCTCTGTTGAAATAATTTAATAATCAGGTGACTGGAAGAATTAAGTTCAAATGGGATTAAAATTACTTCTCAAAATAACTGCACAAATAATTTGTATTTCACGACCATTGAACTCAGAGTATAAAGTTTGTTTGAATGAAAAGTCGGACAGGACAATCGAAGTTAACTCATTTTAACTTTAGTCAGAGGGCAAGTGAATCAAACATTTCCTATGTATAAGATCTCCAGTAAAATCGTGACTATGAAAAGTTCCAAGCTGGAACTACACATCTGTATATGAGCCGCTGATTTTCACTAGTTTTATAAACGATTTCAGAAAGGTGAGTCAGATATGAGACATTTTAAGTGAACTTGGCAGTCAGTGTTTTGTTATCTTCGTGGTGTTTTTTTTCCACATTCACTTAATTTGGTATACACGATGTAATTTCACAGTATAATGCCTATTATTTTTCAAGGGTAACGCCGGTCCAAAAGGCGAGCCTGGATTGACTGGAGAACCAGGAGATACTGGACCTGTTGGAGCTCCAGGATATAAAGGTGATCGTGGGCCTCGAGGACTACCTGGACCAAAAGGGACTCAAGGTTTACCTGGTTTAACTGGAGTTCGTGGAGATAGAGGTGAAAAAGGTTCGAAAGGAGAGCGTGGTCTTCCTGGACCAAGAGGTAGTGAAGGGCCAGTTGGAATTAAAGGGGAACCTGGCCTACCTGGTGAAATCGGTCCACGAGGATTAGAAGGACAGAAGGTAGGTACTTAGATTTTATTGTGATTTTGAGACTATGCCAACCAAGTGGTAGCACAGTCGCTTACTCTACCCTTTCATTTCTCACTGATTTACACACCGTAATGCTACACAGTAACAAAAAAATTTCCTCTTCAGTCTCTACTGTCTTGGAGGTGACCATACTGCCCATCAGCAAATCTTCCTTGTTGCGTGGATTCAACGAATCTGAAAGAAATATGTGCTGATAAAATTCACTTCACATTTTAAGGTTGACGCTTTTGATAGATGAACTGTATTGCTACGATGAGTCCATTAGAAATGAATGTCAGCAACATTACGTAACACAGCTTACATCGTTATCTGAATTTTTATCACTAGAAGTGTTTCGCGTCGAGAAAATCTGGCACGTAAAATGAGTAATTATCATGAACGTGACATAAAATAAGTGGATGGTGTCTTTCCTAATTTATCTTCCCACTATTAATATTAGGACAAAATGTATAAGCGAACAATAAAATTTATAAGAAGTTCTATTTTGACTCATTTGATTGATAACGGTCACCAAGTGAACAGAATTAGTGCCTTCAAAGTTATCTGTCGCATTCCATCGACACTTTCGAACGGAATTCGAACCTACCTTTTATGCATAACCTAAGCTACTGGAATTAATTTAAGAGAACAATCCTAGTCTTTGCTTACAAAAGAAGTTTTTTCTACCTTTGTCTCTCCCTTAGTCTGGGTGATATATAATAAAAACCCTCCGAACCTTTCTTATTTTCCATTTCCTAACTTCTATGATATTTATTTAAGCTGCGATTATCTGTCCGCTTCACCTTTAGTATTACGCAACTTTTAAGATTTGACCTAATTTATTTATTGAATTGTCTATATATACACATATTACTACCTTCGTTATTCTTGTCACCACATGCATAAACCTTATTATCATTATTTTGTTGTCATTATAATCATCGTTATTACTGACGCTGAAAACATTTGCCAAATTACTATTATTATTTTTCTTACGAGTTGATCAGTGACTGACATCAGTTAGACAACCAGTGGAAAACCTGCGAGTACTGGACAGCTGTTTTGACCTAGTTTGGGGATCACTGGCAGCACGCACCCACCACAGGGGGCTAGAACCCAGGACCTTCCAGTTACAAGGCAAGCTCATATACCATTCAGCCACTGGGACCCGATTCAATGGGCTATGAATTCTAACTTCTACCAATTCGTGATTTGGCGTGACCACCAACTGATATCATCGGTGGGACATCCATCCTGACACTTGACTAAATGGACCTTACTGGTCATGGGCTATTCAATCGGGTCCCAGTAGCTAACTGGTATATGAGCTTGCCTTGTGACCGGAAGGTCCTGGGTTCGAACTCCAGTGGGTGCCTACTGTCGATTATTCCCATACTCGGATGAAACAGCTATCCAGTACTCCCTGTTTTTCAATGGCTCTCTAACTGATATCAATCCGTGATCAACCCGTAAACAAACGTAATCCTTACAAACCAACTATTGAAAGTTATTATTATTATTATTTGATCCACAAAATCCCCGTCATTGGTTAAATTTTTTATGTATAAATCTATGTAAATTAGAGTAAAACCTGCAGAAAATAATTTTGTTCTCTTTTATCTTGTTCTAACAAATAAAGTATAATTATATTTCAATAGTTTACACGCAATGATAAGTTTAACCACTGGGACCCGATTCAATGGCTCGTAAATTCTAACTTCTACTAATTCGTGATTTAGCGCGACCCCAACCATTGTCGTTGGTGGGACATCCATCCACACACGTGACATCTAGTTGGACCTCACTGGTCACGACTTCTCACTAGAACTCAGGAAACTCCAACCTGTAGCAAGTCACTAGCGAGCATCAGATTAACTTTGTATAGTTTGGTTTGTAAGGATTAGTTATGTTTTACGGGTTGATCACGGATTGATATCAGTTAGAGAACCATATGGTATACGAGCTTGCCTTGTAACCGGAAGGTCCCGGGTTCGAAACCCAGTGGGTGCGTACTGCCGATGATTCCCAAACTAGGATGAAACAGCAGCTGTCCAGTACTCCCTGGTTTTCAATGGTTCTCTAACTGATATCAATCCGTGATCAACCCGTAAAACATAACTAATCCTTACAAACCAAACTATACAAATTTAATCTGATGCTCGCTAGTGACTTGCTACAGGTTGGAGTTTCCTGAGTTCTAGTGAGAAGTCGTGACCAGTGAGGTCCAACTAGATGTCACGTGTGTGGATGGATGTCCCACCAACGACAATGGTTGGGGTCGCGCTAAATCACGAATTAGTAGAAGTTAGAATTCACGAGCCATTGAATCGGGTCCCAGTGGCTGAATGGTATACGAGCTTGCCTTGTAACCGGAAGGTCCCGGGTTCGAAACCCAGTGGTTGCGTACTGCCGATGATTCCCAAACTAGGATGAAACAGCAGCTGTCCAGTACTCCCTGGTTTTCAATGGTTCTCTAACTGATATCAATCCGTGATCAACCCGTAAAACATAACTAATCCTTACAAACCAAACTATACAAAGATAAGTTTAGTTCTAAAGTTAATTTATAATCAAAAAAAGTTCAGGCTTCAAAGGGGGAGTTGTGGGCAGTGGTGAGAGAGAGAGAGAGAAACAATATGAATACCGCAGGAAAATAAACAAACGAATTAAATGCTTAGGATGTAGGGGTGAAAAACAACTATCATAATAAAAATAGTGGTATGAACAATTTTCAAAACATAATATGGGGGGAAGAAAAGTTCTGTGTTAATACAATAACAGATGTGAAAAGTTGTACTTAAACGCTAGATAAGTGATTTGATGAGAAAGGTCATAAAAATCACTGAAAGTCAATCTGAACGAAGAATATTCTTTTCAATAATTTCTCTTCAGGTTCTTACAATTATAAAATATAATATTTGTGGTCGTTACAATAATGGCCAGTTATACGGCGGATACATTTTTAACGTAGAATAACAGATTAGTTATGCGGTGTGAAAATAAATTGTCGTATTTGTGTGACAAACGTGCTCTGGGCTGAAATCGATTACAAAATATTGTAACATGGGAGACAGTAATGGTGGTGATTATTCATAATAGATTTATAGAGTTTGGGGCAGGAAAATTGACAAATCGTTTTAAGGTCATAAAAAGTGTCATGTGAGTGGCTAGTACAAAGTGGCATGTATTAAAGAGGAGACAGTAAGATTGCAATGAGAAGTTCATAATGAAATAACGAATGTGTGGAATGAAACACGTCGAGGCATATATTGAGAAAAGAGATAATATCATTAATAATAATAATAATAATAAATGGAAAATTCGATAGTATTGACAGAATGTTTGAATGAAGGGCATAAATTACTACGAATAATAATAAATGTAATAAGCAAAGAAAAAACGAAGAGGGTTGAGGGGAAGAAGCACTCTTGGTGAGAAGAAGAATCATCAATCCAAGTTTGGTCACGGTAGGAATAGCGTCTGGACGTGTTCTTTTTGGATACAAAGTGCCGATTTAGTCGATCTTATTGCAACAGCTTCAGCCATGTGGATGGTGACTAGCAGTGCAATCCAAGATGCGCATTTCGTCCTATTTGGGGCTCGTCAGTTGGGTGCACATGAATTTCCCAGTGAGTGATGATCTTCCCACTTAGGCTCGAACCAAGTGCCCATAGTTTCAAACGCCTCGGTGGGAACATCACTCACTGGGAAACGCAGGTACATTCAGATGACGAGTCCCAAATAGGACGAAACGCGTATCCTGGATTCCACTGCTAGTCATCATCCACCAATTAAATTTTAATTAAATGCCCAGACATCGTCGAAGCGTCTGCACAAGAAGCCGGCATGTCAACCGAGCACTTCGGTTCAATCGATCGACGGGAAAAATCTAAAGTTCAATCAAAAGCTTCAGCTATGTGTAGAAACATAAGCTAACTGAACGTGATAACGATTTCGGAATTCGGTATATAACCCTGAGAGCTGTGTTGACATCTTCTTTCCTTGCTTAGATATGTCAATACAACATGTTTTATCTCGTGGTCGAAAATTTTGTGACCGATTCAGTCAGACAAATCACTTAAAGACTGGCTTACATTTTTTGTTACTATATTTCTAACTTCCGAAGTATTTTTACTAATATTAACTTCACACGAAAATGCGACACTAAACTGTACGAATTGTTTTCAGGATTTCATCATGAATTGACATCGGTTGGAGGACCATTGGACCACTGGGAGTACTAGACAGCTGTTTGTCCCATCCTAATTTGTGACTCTTCAGCAGTACGCATCCACTGGGGCTCGAGCTCACCTTTCAGTTACAAGGTGAGCTCGTAGACTATTAGGCCACTGGGACCTGACCCAATGGGTCCATGAATACCAACTTCTGCCAATTCACGATATGGCGCGACCACTAAAGAATTTCATCGGCGAGTATTTGTCCTTAAACCCAACTTGCTGTACCCCACTGGTCACGACGGATTGTGATGTACACATGCATAACGTTTTCGGATAGACTTATTCTATCGAAATTTCTGAGTAACTACTTCTTTCGAATATTCATAATTAAATTATATACTTCATTTCCTTCTCTAGGGCAATGAAGGTCCACGAGGAAGTGCAGGATACCCTGGTGGTCCAGGTCCTAAAGGTTCTGTTGGACCAACAGGCGCTATTGGAAGTCCAGGAGAAAAGGGTGATCCTGGTCATATGGGACCACTAGGCTTAAGTGGGCCTGTTGGACCACGAGGAGCACCTGGTCCACGTGGAGCTCCAGGACAGTCTGGACCAGTTGGATTTAAGGGTGATGAAGGACCTGCAGGGCCTACTGGTCCGCCAGGAGCTGCTGGGCCTCAAGGACCTAGGGGCACACCGGGTTATGTGGGAGTTCCAGGTCCTCCGGTAAGTAATATTTATTGATGAAACCTTATATTCAATTTTACTTCATGACTAAATGACTGCACTTTAAACTCACAGGCAAATTTCAATTTTCATAAGTATGAAGAAGCAACTATTTAATTTACTCACACTAAATTTAAGTCAAAGTCCATCAATGGAGTGATTAACTTGCGTAATTTATACGGTATTATGTCGCAGTATAAGTTAGTCTAAAACCTTAGGCATGAATCATCAAGAGAATTGCCAGATTCAAAATCCGTAACTGTTGACACTCTTCAGCAATGCATGTTGGTAAGTTTAAAAATGCTCTTGTTCCTTCAAAGATCTGAGGATGTCACATACAGTTGCAAAGTCAGACTACTTACATCATTAAGCTTATTAGTTCACAAAATGAATATTGAGTATACTATCTACAGTTGTAATCAAGGGTCAAAATTCAGCTTGTTTGTGAAATTTAAGTGACACTCAAGTTGTTGCTTAAACTGACATAATAAGGAGTGGTCAACCATTACTAAAAGCAGTATAAAGTGAATAATACTACTGAAATGCTTATGTTGAATAAGTGAAATTAATGTTCATTCTTACTTTGACAACCTTTGAGTGTATCAGTTTGCTTGGTGACCTGATTGTACATATATTTTCCAGTTACGGTAAGTATCAGTTAAGTTGGCTAGTTAGTTAGAATTCGGCGATTCTATTTTTTGACAGTTGATGGTGCTACCTAATTGTCTGACTGACTTATTGAGTTTTAAGTTAGAACTTTGTATAGATGTGCAACAATTCAAGTAGCTACACTCCACAAGTAGCACAAAAAAGCAGACAAAAAGGAAGAAAAGAGGTTCGAAAGGACAATATTAAAAAGAGAAATGTGAAGGAGAAGGAAAAGTTCCATGAAAAAACATAACAGTTTTGTAGATATGAGAAATTTTAAAGAGTGAATACATCTGCACCACTGAGAAGGATCACCAATAGTCTCCAACCGAATGGCTCAAACACCTATGTGACTCTAATCAACTGTCAGCAGCTTCATGGTTTGACGCCATGAACTCAATGCAGGTGAATATTGCTTGTCAAGCAAGAGGATGGCTCAAAATATGTAACACATGTCCCAACCATCTAAATCGATGGTGCTTCATAGTACCATTACTAAGTTACCTTCCTTACCTCATACTACGCCTAACTTCAATATTACTCCCTATATTATACCACTAAACGCAGGAGATAGGGCGTAAACCTGGGAATTTGGAATTCATCGGTTGAAAGTTGGATATTTAAGCAAATGAACTATAAGACTTTTTCAACGGGAAATTAACTTTAAAACACCGATGAGACAGTTATAAGTTAAATGCCTTAGCTGTCCGAAGTGAATGGCTAATCCACTGCTATAAATGTACTCGTCTACCTCTTTATATCGAGTAGAGCTTGTAGGCTTCGCCATATTTATCGTGTTCAGTTAACTACTCTATAATCATTCTATTAATAAAGGATAAGACTGAACAAAAGTTAAAGCAACAGTCGTAATTTTCTATTGATAAGTCATTCTTACAACCTGAGTTTTAAACTCATAAATCGCTTTTAATCATAACTCATTCTTATACATTGATGTGTTTTTCAAGGGTCTACCTGGTCGTCCAGGACCACCAGGAGTCCTAGGAGATAGAGGCGAACCTGGTGAACCGGGAATACCTGGTGAGATAGGAGCAATTGGTATGGTCGGTGTGCCTGGACAAGTTGGAGAACAAGGGGCGCCAGGCGAACGTGGTCCACCAGGACCGCGTGGACCTCAAGGTATTCCAGGTAAACCTGGTGTAGAAGGGATTGAAGGAGCACAGGTGAGCTATAAATTAATCTTGGGGCATCATAGTTCATATTTAAATTGATTACCATTATATAATTATTCAGAAAAACATTGATAATTTTTAACATTTTGAGCAAGTGAATGGTGAATAAACATATTTTCAAATATAATATTCTTAATATTGATAATTTATCTACAGGGTGAAAAAGGAACAAAGGGTGCTGCTGGTCCACCTGGTCCTAGTGGCCCTGTTGGATTGCGAGGGACCCGAGGCCCGCCCGGCCCACCAGGAGATGCTGGAGCTAAAGGAGATGAAGGTCGCATCGGTCCCCCTGGAAGCGTTGGAGATAAAGGTGGCAGAGGTCCCCCTGGGCCACAAGGGCCACCTGGTCCTTTAGGGCCAGCGGGTCCACAAGGATTACCGGGCAGTCAGGGAGAGCCTGGGTAAGTATTGCTTTAGTTACTCCACTTAAGAATATGAATTGAATATATTTTCAAATTACCTCAAGTATTTCTTCTTCTCTTTAAACCACGAATAGTGATAAGGGTGCACGTGGCCAGCCTGGCCCAGTCGGTGAACAAGGTGAAAAAGGTGTTCAGGGATTAATAGGAAAACCTGGTCTACGTGGACCAGCAGGGGCAGATGGTGAGCAGGGTGACCAAGGAAGTCCAGGTCCTCAAGGAGCAAAGGGAGACAGGGGTGAAGCGGTAAGTTGTAAGATAAATGAAGTTATAATGGGATCGTCTTTTGTTGTTTTGGAGGAAATATTGCATGCATCTTAGTCCATGATTGCCTTCATCACCTGAGTAATTTTTTAAATACTTCAGGGTGAACAAGGTTCTCCAGGTCAGCAAGGAGCGGTCGGATCGCCAGGTCCTCAAGGAATGGTTGGTGAACCAGGCGAGATTGGACATCCCGGCGTTGGTGGTGCAAAAGGCATTGAAGGTAAAGTCGGACCACCGGGTCCACCGGGACCCGCTGGAGTACAAGTAAGTTTTGCATGTTGGAAAATGTAATGACTTTAGAAATGAACTTCATGCATGTTTTTAAGACAGACAACTTTTTCAGTGCTACACAACATAATCCACAAATATTTTACTGATATAACTAACAGGGTATGTTTTCTTCCTGATATTGTAAGTTCGGTCTAAGAAGCCGTCAACTGACTATTTGAAATTTTATGGAATTCTTGGAATGAGTGGTATCATTTAGCATAGAGTCTTTTCTACTTAATTAAGACGCCTGGATATCTCACAAAAACATAATTATCTGCAAAAATTGTTGTGTGTGTGAAGTCTTTAGCTACTAAGAAGTCGTTTTAATCTGAAGTATGTAGAAATTGTGTTGATTAGAAAATCCCCTGCCTTGCTGTAATTCATACACTAATAATATGATCAGAACGGTAATGAATTCACTAGCACTTATCCCACCACTAATAATTAGAGTTTGTCGATTCCAGATGACTTATGAGTTTTTATTTTACTTAGAATAACAATTGCAAACTAAAACTGTTTTAGTGGTCTTCATATAAAACTCCTCATTCATTTTGTACAAAAAGTAGTTTAAACAAAAGTTGTAGGAATCAAGTTTAAGCACTTATTTTAATTTTTCATGTTTCGCTTACAGGGTCCTCCAGGTCCAAGTGGTCCACGCGGTGAGCCTGGTATTAAGGGAACTATTGGTGCAGAAGGCCCAGTTGGGTTTCCTGGACCTATGGGCTTGGCTGGAGCCCCAGGCAAAATGGGAATACCTGGCGTAACTGGTCCTCCTGGGTTGCCAGGATTGAAAGGTGAGCAAGGAAAACCTGGTGCACGTGGTGAACAAGGAGTGCAAGGAATCTCCGGACCACCTGGACCCAAAGGTATGAAAGGATCTCTCGGAAGACCTGGTCGGCAAGGTCAACCAGGTCCTGCCGGACCTCCAGGAATAGTCGGCGAACCAGGCATGCAGGTAACTACCATGTTTTACTAAATAACTTTATCATTGCATTTTCGATATAAGAGGGCTTGCTTTTATTCTGGTTCACTGATATCCACGTAGTGGTAAAAAAAACACTGAAGTACTAAGTTAATTTAACATTCATGCTAAAAACCTCTTTTTGAAATTGTTTGTCATTCTGTAGGGTCCTCAAGGACCAATGGGTCCAAATGGAGCACCAGGACTGCCAGGTGAACCTGGTGCTGCAGGCCCACCCGGAAAAGATGGTGTTCGTGGAGGTATCGGCCCTGAAGGACCATTCGGAGATGATGGGCCTCCAGGGTCACCAGGGCCGGTAGGTGTTCCTGGTATTCAAGGTCCCGCTGGGACTGCTGGCGATACTGGTCCCGCAGGGGATCCTGGAGACCGAGGGCCTCCTGGTCCTATGGGATCACCTGGAGAACGTGGACTACCTGGAATTATGGGTCCCGAAGGGCAGATCGGTCCACAAGGACCTGATGGAGAGCAGGTTAGTTTTGCTCCAAAAACTATTAATTTCTCTTTTAAACTCGTTCAGACTCTGACTATTTTTAAATAACATTTTAGGGACCTCAAGGACCGCCTGGAGACGCAGGACCGAAAGGAAATACCGGCAAAACGGTAAGTATTTACTTCATGTTCGCCACATTTGCATCACAACCGTTTAAATAAATCATACTGATTACTTTTATCTACTCCATTTATAGGGGTTAACCGGTCCTATTGGTCCAAAAGGAGAGTCAGGTCCTAAAGGGGTAGAAGGTCACCCGGAACAGTTGGTCCTCCAGGACCCAAAGGCGAGCAAGGTAGCATGGGAGACCCTGGGCCAGTTGGAAAAATGGGTGAAATGGGTGAACATGGTGACCAAGGACCTCAGGGTCCACGTGGACCAAATGGTGATGAGGGAGAATCTGGGCCACCGGGTCCAGTAGGCCCCCCTGGACCAGCTGGACTACAAGGTGAGTTACTTCTTCATTTGTTTTGTCAATACTAAGATAAATCGGTTCAATAAATAATAAGCTGTGATAATCAACATTCTTAAATACCTTCGGCGTCTCACCGTATTTTTCACTTGATCTTTCGTTTTCTTTCTGGCTGTCTTCAAAATGTTCCTCCCACTTAATGTATATTAGAAGTTTATTCGCACATCATCTTGCCTACCCTGGAACTATTCGCTACTTTTTACTGAACCCCTGTCTCTATCTCTCCCTCTGGTATATCTTTGTTAGTTATATTTTGAATATATATGTTTCCTTTACCGTTGTGTATTTCAAAGGAGTTTGAGAACTTATGAAGAGATACTTTCTGTGGGGATTTCCTTATTATTTCTCTAATCTTGTCTTAATTCCTCTATACCTATGGGAATCAATCTTCAATCTTATTAACGCTTCTATAGATATAGCAATGTAAAGCTTCAAAAACAGATCCACACAAAGAACGTACTTTCATGCTTCTGTTCAATGCCTAATTTTTATAATTCAGTCATTGGGTTACAAAATTGTTTAAGATAGGAATAAATTTATTATTCTAGAAAGCAATCTGGAATATATATATATATATACGTGCTAATAGTTGACATCCACCAAGCTCTAGATAGAAACCATATTGAAATTAGCTTAGCAATTGAACCACCCAGCTCAAAAGAACATAACCAAATCAAGAAAATTCATGTGAGCTATACACCTTCTCTATTGTTTCAGAATTATACTACTTAGCATACTCACTATATCCTTAACATTTTAATCATTTTAACAGGTCCAAGAGGAGAACAAGGGCATCCAGGTGATCCTGGACCAATGGGTAAACAAGGACCTCAAGGACAAGTGAAAATTACTAATAGCGGAGAAACTTTATTGATGAGACATAGAAGATCTCCTGTTATGGCAACTGGTAAATATCATTTGTTTCTTAAAAGTAGCTAATTCCAATTATTTGAAATTACTGATTTGTCATTTTTGTATTGACTTTTATCATGCTTTGAAGAAGTTAGTGTAGATTCTCATTCCTTTGCATTCCGAGTGAAGCATACAGCTTCAATCTGGAGCAGTGAAATTTCAGAAGTAGTTGAGTTTCATTTGTCAGGTGGGGTTGTTAGTCTCGTTACTACGCACTAGATAAAGCTTAGGAATGCATCCGCCTTGACTCGAAACCCTGATCATGTGCATAGCTAATGAGCATTTAGCTGTTGAACTAAATGATGCATGACATTTGGATGCGGAGATATTTTGTGCCATTCATCTTTCAGGATTCAGTCTTTCAGTAAGTTGGGTTTCCATTTCATTACTGTACTCATCACTCCATTACAATGAAATCAGTCCGCTAAATCACACTTATCTAAAATACACTGAGTGACGATTTTGGACTAGATAATATTCGGCTGAACAGACAGTATGTTTAAAAATGGGTAGGTATGTGTTGTAGATTCTTAAGACAGCTAGAAATCACTCATTGTGATGGGTTTGTAGCTCATTGGGGACAGCATCAAGTTAGTGAACTAGAGGCTGTTGTTCCGAACTCTCCTTCAACCATGGTTTTCATTCTGTTTTCAATCATTTCGTATGATATCAGTAGTAATTTGTCAGTGAAAGACTACCTCAAACTGCCTCATCACCAATTATCAATACGTGTATGCGCCTTTAAGACAGCGTTTAAAATCACGATTATCTGTGATCAGGTTATATTAACTGAAGACATTTCTTTCCAGTAGCATGGAAAAAGTATTTAATGGATTTATACATTTTTGTTAGGACTCGTCAGATGAATTCTCAGTGTACACAATTATATATATCATATTGCAAGGTAAGGAAACATACAAGTAATGTGAATTTTATAGAAGCAAATAAAGTTTACTGGAAATATTTCTTCTCCATAGATACCGACTGATGCCCACTATACTTGCTTTCACAAATGTACGTAAATTGGTGCATACAGTTGAATGTGTAGGGGATCCTTCTCTATTGTTTACATTGTTCTTGAGATCGTGTTTGTAAGTGAAACCTCAGTAGCCAGAGAGTGCTTCTTACAGAGTGTAAAATGATTTTCCACCACCTGGGTAACGCCATCTTCCACGAGTGTCAGCAGTATATATTTGTACCTTCTTCTTTGAGGACTGTATCAGACATTACCTTCAGTTTATCTTATTTTCGGGATATTTTTTCATAAATCTTTCTAAATAGATATATTTCACCGTAATAAAATTTAACATCGAATAATTAACTCTCAAATTCACCAAATGTATTCCTGTTGCTGATCATTCTAAGAGATAATAGAGGAAATATCTCATTGATCTGGTATTGCCTATCGAGCGACTGCTGTTCAAAGTACTTTATGGTGTAGCTTGCTTTCAACTATGCTAGTTGCTAGTAAATGGAAGCAGTAGTTGTTTTTTTTAAAGTTATAACATATATTTATTTTTTCTATAGTTTAGTTAACTGCTTACAATGCTGTTTATAAACATTGAATAATTTCCATTTAGTAAGAAATTATGTCGTAAGATATGCAATGGCAACATACAACAATCACCATAAATGGGAAGAACCTGAAAGAAACAACCTCATTCACCTACCTGGGAAGCATCGTTTCAACTACAGGCCGATGGAACTGACGAGGATATCAAAGCCAGAATCGGAAAAGCAAGATAAGCTTTCATTACTCTCAAGTGTGTGTGGAGGTCAACAGCACTCATCATCAAAAATAAGATCCGGATTTTCAACTCCAATGTAAAGTCAGTCAGTGCTACTCACTATACGGATCAGAGACTTGCACTGCACGTCATAAAGAGCATCTCAAACAAACTACAGACCTTCATTAACAGCTATCTCCGCTCAATACCAATCAAGATCAGATGGCCGGCCAGAAAAGATCAGCAACAGGGATCTCTGGCAATGAGCGAACCAACCGGAACCGATTGTGAAACAAATAGGCAGGAAGAAATGGAGATGGATTGACTGGTCATACTCTGAGGAAACCATCAAGTAACATCACAAGACAGGCCCTCGAGTGGAACCCGAAAGGGAAGCGGCGAGTTGGTCGTCAGTGCAAGGGTGACTTGGAGGAGGTCATGTGAAGAGATGAAAGCATGTGGGTAGACTTGGAGCCAGGTGAAAACTCTAGCAGAGAGCCGGACGCAATAAAGACGCCAGATTGAAGCCCTATGTTCCTCTAGGAATTAAAGGAAATAGTAATAATAAGATATTCTGGATATATATTTATTAGTTAATGAGTTTTGGATGCACGTTTCTCTTGTGATATATATATATATATATGGATGTCTACTGAAATAGTGAAAAGTCCTTAATATGCATATCTAATCACTTAGAAAGGTTGAGGATTAGTTAACTCATTCTGAACTGTGTAGCAATAATTAGGAGATTGAAAAATAGGTCTCTATAGAAATATTTGTTCATCTCAGCTAGTTGGTTTACTCGCGAAACACTGAAGATGTTGTTTAGAAAGACAGTGGCAGTTTCGCAACTAAATCATTCAGCTCTTAGAACACAACTACACCAATATTATCAACCTGAAGTATAAATCTTCTCCGTCATATCTAACAGCTGTAATTCTTTGTGTAAGTAATTTCATCAATACCCTGTTGGTAGTAAATTGACTAATTTCAGACAAATTGTTCAAATTATTGAGTTTCTTTCGTCACCTATGTGAATAAAGTTTTTTTTAAGAATTAGATGGGTCTTCATTAAGGTATAAAAACTCATCTCATCAATTTTTAAACTGCTTCCTTTCATGGCCATAAAAGACAGATCATACAGTTTGTCACAACCGAAATTGATGTGGTGTAGTCTAAACTCAGAAAACCGAACTTTGCATTCTACTGTATAGCTGACAAAACTTCATTTAGAGACACACAGTCACAAAACGCTCTAAAGGTAGCAGACATATGATCTTTCGTTGCTGGTTCTAATCAACAATTAGTAACGTAGAAAATTCAACATTACCTCAACAATGCCGTTAGACAGCTATACAGTTCAGATAATTTTTCTGGTAAAAAAAATAAGTACCGTACAACAAATTAGTTGACTAGAAATCAATGGGAAGGAGTACCCGAGAATCAAGTGAAGTATTTTTTTTTCAACAAGGTGGGATCAGAACTCCATTAGCAAGAACCGCATACTAAACAGTTCAGGATGACCTTGTCTCACTCACGTTTGTTGGTCCCACTTCTAAAAAATCTGTAGATTTTTCATCTTCAACGCTGTGTTCATAAGCTTGAAAAAGTGTTTCTAAAAAATATTAAGCAATAATGAAGTGAACTCATTCGAACTAGTGTTGGTCAGTTTCATAATTTATCTTTCTTTTTGTCATTTAGAAGAAACACTGGAACAAATCAATAAAAATATTTTTGGTCGTGTCGATGCCTTAAACAAAAAAGTACGCGCAAGACGTTATGCAACTGGTTTAAGTCCACAAAATCCAGCAAGAACATGTAAAGACGTTAGATTGACAAATAAATTTGCTCAAAATGACACGTAAGTCGATTAGGAATTCAATGCTTTGGATGGCGTTTATTTTCTAGCAAAGAATTTAAATACACTTACTAGGTTACATGTTCCTGCATGTGTGAGGGGAAATGAAAATGTATGATCACTCTCAGAGCCAGTTAAAAAAAAATACTTCAGAAAAGTGGAGATTTATTGTTCCACCAAGAACTCAAGGAAATAATAATAATGACGTAGTCACATTCAGAGTGTATTTTCTGAAAAACATCGAGTGTTTGACAGTGTCAACACAGAATACAAAGCAGTTTTACACTTCAAATTCCACACGGAAAAATAGTAACTTAAGTTATATTTTTTTATCACAATAAATGGATATCCCTAAAAATGTCAAGAAAACAGTCACGTTTCAGTAGCTTCTATACATTCACCTTCTCTGCTTCTGTTAAACTGAAGATATCTTAGAGATTATATGAGAAATGTAAGCATAGAAGTCACCGAACTAGTAGGCGAGTGTGAATACCGAACTGTTTGCTTCCAAAACCTTATTCTATGTTGTTGGTCCACTGCAATATTACAACTAATCATGATATGCGGTAAGAAAGCCTACACTTGCAACAAAGAAAACCCATATTGGATACAGTTATAAGTTAATCGCATACACGCTTTGTGTCGGAGCAGTCATAAAAATGCCCACTATTCTATACTGCCTTCGTACCATAAATTTGCTTAATTGAATCTTTTCTAAATTAGTCCCAAGTCATGTATTTATAAGGGGAGCATAACTTACTGTGTATAATGAGGTAAATCATGTCACTGGCCACAAAAGTTACTCATTGGTGCTATTAGATTGACTTAACGTAATACTACATATGAGAAGAAATATAAAACTATGGTTTTATAGCTCTCGCCTATATCGACCTCCAAAAGCGAGATAGTTCTCACTCCATTAGTATAAGATCATGGGTTTTTGTCGCTTGAATACCTATGATGTTTGTTACTTTCTGATTTCAATGAGCTTTTTAATTAGCTCATAATGAAATCTACCATGAAATACCATTTTGTTTGAACATCGTTTTCTAGACTTTATAACTTGCAAGGGAATTGGGAAATATGTCAACTGATCCAAAGTTTGAGAACACATAAATGTTTAATACTATCATTTCATATCAAATGATCGTCTCCAGATATATTATTTTCTGGTTTATGTGTGACAATTTCACCCACCCAGTTAACAATGCTTTCGAAGTTAAAAATGTTGATATTATGATCATCACGAATGGCCCTCCATATTAAGCCAAAGGGGAACTGGATTCTCTTACATCCCTTCTACCGCCTTTTTCATCTAGAGTGGTATCCAACTGCTGACATCAGTCAAACAGCAGTAAAGAACACCATGCATTTACGCTTGGTTTTGTCAAATGCCATTTATGTAGTCAGACAGCTCATATACTTTGACCTGAATAACTTCGGTTTACGAAGAAAACTGTGATGAAATTTCGCCTCCTCAAACTGCATAAAAAATTCCAAGTCACAAATTAAATTGTGAGCTGCTAATTTGATTCAAGCATTTCGCCCAAGTAGCCGGTCAGAACTGATCCAGATGTCTAAGCCGAGTCAAACTAAGTGCACCCTTGAGGAGTTCGTCCACAATCACGTGAAATAGTCGTCCGATGTTCAGATCACTTCGATTTGGCTAGCAGGCTCCACTAGCTGGCATTACAGATCCTAACCTATTTTTACTATTGTTAAATTGATAATACTACTGTCAATTATATAAGTAATATAGTTACTATTCAATAATTGTTTTCCAACAGCTATTGGATTGATCCAAATGAAGGTTCAAACAGAGATGCAATTAAAGCCAAGTGTACATTTTTCGATGATGGAACTGTTGAGACATGCGTAGACTCAAGTATGGATCAGGTAAGATCATTATTATTATTATTATTATTATAACTATGGTTTGTACTTATTGAAGATAGTTCCACATTTATTTGACTAATGTTGACATGCAGGCCAGTTAGTATTACCTACAAAACCTTAGTCACCATAATCACTGGGTGGCCTGCTTAAATCATTAGGCTACCTGAATTCTCTTTCCATCAAGATGCACTGTTTTTACTCTGATTCATATTGTTTTATTAGTGTAATTATCACAACGAGTCATAATTCATACTGGCATATTATTCCAAATAAGTTTCCACCTACCACTAGGAAACTTTCTAAAGAAATGGAGGAAGAATATTGTGAAGTAGTACTGCAGCAAGCTTTGGATGGGAAAAACTGCTTCAGATGATATACATTATCGATTATTGTATTATTTGAAGTTTCTGCACAAAGAGTATAAATACCATGCGGTGAACCTTGCTGAGAATTCTACCCTGTGTGTAGACACATTTCTCAGAATAAAGCTGTAATTGTTATTGTATTAAATTGTATTGAAATAGGTCAATTTTAGAACTGGTTTTCTTCTTCCTAAGAGTTAATTTTAGACACATAAGTGATATTATTATTGTTGTTAAACTTGGCATTTTTGTGTTCATTCAGTGTAAAGGTGAGTACGTTTTCTGATGTATTTTTGAAACTAAACAGTCAAGGTCAACGAATAATTTGATTTCTATAGAATATATATATATATATATATATATATATCGTAAATAGTAAAGTGCATCTTACACGGTAGCAGCAGTCTATGTCTTTTTTTGACCTCGTACAATGAACTAATAGTCTGTTAGAGACTGGAGTAGCTGAGTAATTGAAAGTGTGTTAAGAAGCATTAAAGTGTAATCTATTTGTAAGAGAATAGTTTTATTTCAGATAACAAAGTGATACAGTCATACGTATTTATTCATATCTTTTCAACCACGATTTATTACTCAATCATACCAAGGGAAGCTGGATGCCATTAAATCCTACAAATTTACTCAGGGGCGAACATCATAGGTTAAAGGAACCTACTAACTCGTTGAGATAAAATAACCTAATCTGCAAAATACTATGCAGTGACTCTGAAATCAATTACATACGTCAATCCAGTACATAGGCGTCATTTAGTTTCTTGGAACATAGGAATTAAGCTAAATGCAAAATGATTAGTCCTGATAAATAGCCAACTTGTAGGAAAATTCAACAGTTGCAATTCAACACTCACTAGCACAAAATCCAACAGTATGATGAGATAAAACTACAATTCTAAAAGGTGAGATATAGTTAGGAGAAGAGACAGAGAGAGACTGATCTCCGAATACTTTTTCTCAAGAATTTGTTTTTAGGGATTTCATTTATTTCAAGTTTGACCACGTATTGATATCATTTGAAGAACCAATAGAAACAAGGGTGTATTGGACAACTGTTTCGTCTTAGTTTGGGAATCATCGGCAGTACGCATCCACTGGGATTCGAACCCAAGACCTTCCAGCTACAAGACAAGCTTGTAGAGCAGCCAGGCGTTGGGACCCAACTCAAAAGTACACGAATTCTAACTGCTGAAGAGTCCGAAAGTAGAAAGAAACAACTGTTCAATACTCTCTGATTTTAAATGATTCCCTAACTTATAGCAATCCATGGTCAAAATTGAATCCTTATTCATCGAATCTACACCAAACACACGAAATAAGAATCAGGCGCCCACCCACCCCCCATCCTGGAGATAATGGGTAATATGATTACCAATAAAAACAAATTGATTTATATATGAACAAAATGTGAAAGATTTTGATAACCTTGATATGACCATAAGCGATAACTTATACTCGTGTAATCATCAGTAAATAAATTTGAAATTGTGTGTGTATAATATCGAATAAAATTATTCTATGGTGGAATTATGCTTTGCCACACTGTTCGAACTCTACTGTTATTTATTATTATTCTTCTAACATTGATGTAATCTGTTTAGTGGTTTCTGAATCAATTGGATTTTGAGCATTCAATTTAACAATAAAAACAGTAATATTTTAAGTCATCCTTATCGACACAATAGTTATAGAAATTATTACAAGGAATGATTTTTTGATTGAACCTTCAAATCTATTCTTAATGTGGAAGGGTTTTCTTTTTGTATTTAATAAGCTACACAACTAAATCACTAGATTTTCGTATTTAAATAGGTTACATATTTTACTGTCTTTTAGTAGTTCCTAATGGCTAAACATTTAGTCTTGAAGTTTATGGTATACGTTTCTTGATAGTACGGCTTGGTATCTCCAACTTTAGCTTTGTTCTTTAAAAAAAGTTTTATATCTCAAACTCATCCATTAGATAGTTGGAGACAGTCGGCAGGAATCCCTCAATCTAGGCTTCAGGAAGGAGTATCTTCAACCTTGAAAAATTCATATCTCTTGTGGGATTCAGAACCGCATCACCCAACTCACTATTCACAGACTTTACCAGTGAGCTATCTCCGCCTAAGAATGACCTCATGTAGGACTGTGATGGATGCACGATTCGTCAGTGCATAATAACTAACTTCATACGTCTAATTTTGGTGCTGTCTAAATTATATCAGTCAAGCTTCTAATGTAGTCACCAAGTTGAGTGGCTCGCCATCACGATCTACTCTAGGTTATTGTTGGTAGGGTGGATCCGATCTGCAGTAAACCCTAGAACTAGGTTTCGTGCTAACTGGTACTCATACTTGTCTATGCAATTTATTCAGCAGATTATGACTACTTTTATAAATTATAGTAAAAATGAAGATGAATTATGACTTAATTATAAGGGATGTTTAATCAATTCACTCTTAAATGAAATAACGCTACACCATGTCTACTTTTTTGTTATCATTATAATGAAGTTTCTTTTCTTCATTCAGGGCATATTGGTCACATATCTGAAACCGCTACCAGGTGATAGTGAATGGCAAAGTCATTTGAGAGTGATGAATTCTACTTCAGCCTTAGATGTAAGTTTTTTAAACTAAATTTTGGATAAAGAGCGTAAACACATTCGATTCTTACTTAATGTAAAAATATGTTAACATAGTTTTGTTACTGAATGCAATATACTTATAAATAAATAAATTTTTGGGAAACTATCTGTGTAATGACCACGACAACGGATATCTTGTCGTCTGAACGCAGGAAGCCGATCTTTTCGTCCTACTCTACAATTAACTACAACTTCCTTCAGCTACGTGCAGTCACAGAATGCTCCAACGACAGCAAAAAGACAGTTATTTGTGATAAAATCTTCTGTGAAAATCGATAATAATAACATATCAAAAAGCAAAATTACCTCAACAATGCTGCTACGCAGCTATACAGATCCAGTTAGTTCTAAAATACAAAATACGTACTGTAGAACAAAACGAGTTAACCGAAAATCGACCGTAAGAAGTATCTAAGAATTAAGTGAAGTATTCCCAATAAGGTGGGATCAGAACTCCATTAGCAAGAATCACACACCAAACAATTGTCTCAAACAGTCTAATGACTGAGTGACCTTCATTCACTCAAATAAAATCTCAGTTGTAAACTTACACATTTTCACTATCATCGTACAACCATAAAAAGAAGCATTAAAATTGGAGATTGAAAGGGAACAAAGATAAGGATTAAAGATTAAGCCAAAAAATAATATGCAAACGTAAGGACAATGATATACGATCCAGAATAAACGGAAAAATAAGCACAATGTTGGTTAAAACATTCAAACAAGTATCATTATTGTAACTGGATAATTCATGAAGGATTTTCCAAACAGTTATTCCGTCACAATCTCAAATAATTTTCGATCTGTAGATTACTTCTAAAATAATAAGTGATGATGAATGAAGATCAAACAGAAGCTTGAGTATAAACAGTATTTGAAATAATGCCCCCCCCCACCCTCACAATTTGCTAACCCGTGGTGATTTCAGTGAATTAAGGACATAATAAACAATTATGTATTGTAGCTGAGTTGATAAAGCGCCGAAATAGTAATTTAAAGGCCTACGGTGTAAATCTTATCTTCAGTCTTCGCTGAATCATATAAATGAATAACAGTCATATAAAAATCACCGCAATATTGAATTTTTTGGAGTAATTTGTCAAAGTTAATTTGGTATTTCCCGCTGATTGATTATGTTGAACCAAAATGTACCGTCTCCGTTAATATATCAGTTTCTATTACGGACCCTTCGATAAAATCTTAGGACCAAAAGGATGTTGTTTGGCTGGTAGTGATTACTAATCAAATTTAAGACGCTCATTTCGTCCTGTCTGGGACTTTTCACCTGAATATACCCATGAACATAAACAAGACGGAGGTTATTAAAATAACCAACCGACAACAACAAAAACAGCAACATCCAGCGCCAATCACCATCAACGGGAGGGATTTGAAGGAGGTTAACTCATTCACCTACTTATCTAGGGAGCATTGTCTCAACTACAGGCAGTCGGAACGGACGAGGATATCAAATCGAGCGAGAATCGGGAAGACAATCGAGAAACACACTCATCAACCTGAAACAACCAATCTGGAAATCTTCGTCACTCAGCCAGCATCAACAACAAAGTTCGGTAGGATTTTCAATACAAACACGTCAAGTCAGTAAGTTCTTCTATACGGATCGGATGATAAACTTGGTGGGTGGGTCACAAAGAATATTTCCAACAGCCTGTTGCAGACGTTTATCAACAACTAACTATCTTCGCTCTATGCTGAATGAAGATCAGATGGCCGGGCCGGAAAGAATCACCAACTGTGGGAAACTATGGGAACAGACAAAACAAGAAGCAATCGCCCAACAAATATGCAGGAGAAAGTGGAGGGAGATGGATTGGACACTCGCTGAGGAGACCACTGGGACACATTATACGTCAGGGCATTGCTCGAGTGGAACCAGGCCGAAAGGGAAGCGGCGATTGGGACGTCAGTGCTAGGGTGACATGGAGGAGATCGTGTGAAGAAGAGTTGAAACAGTATGGACTATCATGGAGCAGGTGAAAGTACAGCAGAAGACAGAAGCAAGTGGAGACCTGCAGTTGTAGCCGTATGTTCCACTAAGAACCCAAGGGAACAATAATAATACCCGTAGTTCACAGTGAGTGATGGTGTCCTTACCAAAATGATGGATGCCACGTTCGCGTCTCACTAGGAACGCGATCTTTCACTGGAGATTACGAGTACATCAAGCTGATTAGTTCCATAAAGGAAGAAATGTGCATTTTAAATTCCACCGCTAGTCCCCATCCACCAAATAACACTGAAATAATCTTTACGACTAAATGGGTGCATGCTAGTATAATGAAAATCTGAATAGACCAGAGATCCATCATTTCGCTATTTTACTCAAATGCTTAAGGTTGCTAGGAAAACAAAACTACGGCTCAGTTATTCAGATAGCTTTGAATATCCCAGAAAAATTTCACCAACTAACAACTCAGATGGTCAAACGTTTGACCTAACCTATTGTTTTCCAACAATGTGTTTAACAAGGCTGGATAGACAGTGAAAACATGCTAACATGGAATCAAACGAAGACGTAAAACAAATCTGAGTGGGTGAGCTCAACATTAAGACGTTATCGTCAGTTGTGTCTGTACTAGCTCACTTGGTACAATGACAGATTTAAAACCTGGAGCTTATTCCCTCTACTCCTCTCTTTCGCAGTTCATACTTTCAGTTCTAATTACCATCTCGTTACAGCGGTATGAGTCTAGTTAACTAAGGTAACTTGGAAAAACTTTAGGAATTCCTGCATTAGTAACAATAGGTGAAATTCAGTCGTCAGATGGTATAATGTTTAATCAATAAAGTTAACGAGGATGAATATATATATATATATATATGAGGGGTTATGTTAAAGTGTGTCATGCGCTACTGAAAAGAAGCCATAAACAGTACATTGTGTGTGATATCATCTACATGAATCTTGCATAACAGAGCGATGGATAAGGTAAAGAATGAGAACTTGTATACATGGAAATTTCAATGCAGGGTTTTTTTTGTCTTTCGGTATCACTACATAACATTTTCTGAATAAACAACTCCACCACCAAATATTATAGCTCTCTGTCACTACAAAAGCACTCAACACATAAATCTATAGTCACTCACAGTTAAAAGCTATTTTCTCCATGAATTCATAGCATTATTCAATGTTTTCCCAATTCTCATTCATGTGAGTACAGCGTCATTAGGTACTTGCTAAATTCATTTCAAAATAATGAACTCTAACTCCCTTGACTTCAGCTCGAGTGACTAGATACTGCCATCAACGCTTACATATTAGATGTGGCTTATAGCCTGGTGTACTGAAAAATATTTTCTGGGTATTTGCTTTCCAACAACACAGAATAAAGGGAGGAAGAGTGGTCTCGTTTGATTTGACTCTTTCATTAAGGAAGTTTGTTTCTCAGTCCTGATGACTTTGTTAGCATTATTATCATCATCGTAAGTCAGTGAATTTCATTTAAACTTTCCTGAATAACTTGTGAAGTAGTCATTTGGTAACTAAAAACAGTAAGAATTTTTTGCTCACTAATTTCATCACAGAAATCAGAATTCTTTTCGAGTGCTTGTTTGTAAGGATCTGAACGACCACCAGTTAGCTTTCTTCATTAACATAACCTGAAGATCATGAGTACTATTCCTATTAAATTCGGGAATAAATGCAGTTGAAAAGTTCTACAATAAGATGAAAAGGTTCTCCGGGACTTCCTGGCTTTCAGTGGATCACCATGTACGTTTGTGAAAAAGTCTAACTTGGAAAAAATCCATTGATTCCGAAAAATTATGATTTTCATGACTGATATGATGCCCAGGTGTTAACTAAGTGATTCACTTGGATAATTATCGCTTTGTAACGACAGAAGACAAGGGCCAGGCAACAGATCGTTTATTGAGGAAATCAAGGGATATTATATATTTTTAGGTACATTATTATTCGTTATTACTAGCAGAGAAACAGCGTCTTCTGATTGGTTGTTTTCTCGCTGAAAGTTAATCTGTCATCTCTTTGAAGGTCAGACCATATATCTGCAAATCGTATCCGCCCACACAAAGTCTTTGTTCTTGTTTTCCTCATCACCAAGATTTCGGAAGTAAACATTGACGTAAATTGCTGTCTACCAATTTCGGCTGGCAGACAGCTCTCACCACACCTTGAAAGTTCTTTTATCAGTTGTGAGATTTATCTAGTGTTTGTAATGAATTTTATTCGTCTTTGCGCAGTAACTGCTGATGTATTCGTTACAATCGGTGATGAAGCATTCACGGCTAAGTGATCCAGCTAAGAAAAAGTTGAGTATATCTCCTCCTGAGTCTCTAATCTGTTCTAGTATTCTACAATTCTTGGTCATGAATCGCTGATATATATACATATATACGTGTCAAGATACATTTATCATGAATTTATTCTTTATTTTGTGATCAGTTTAATTGAATTATTGTCTTTATAAATGCTATGTTTTTTCAGTTACATAATTATGGAAGTCATTCACAAGTGAATATGTTACGCATACAGCATAGATATGCATCACAAGAGCTTGAATTTTTATGCGATGGTACAGAGATTTATGGTTCATGGAATTCACGTCAAAGTCAATCTGATTTTAGCAAAGCTACAGCACTATTAGCTCATAATGAACGTATGCTTGATTTGACATCAGGTGAAAGATTAGGCCCAGGAAAATATCATATGGATAAACGTACTTATCGAAATAATTTAGATCGTGTAGATACAAGTATTACAGTTGAATATGATGGATGTCAGGTTAGTTTTAACCCTAGACTTATAGAAATTTCATTATTAAATAAATATTACTCATAAAAGTGACAAATGATGAGTATATTTTCTATTGATCTTTTAAGGCATATCTTGACTTTCTTCAGCAGGACACATATAAGTGCAATGACAATAACCGATATTATGCGTTCCATCCTTAGTGTTGTCGCTGACTGAATGCCGCAGCCAAGTCTACAATGTGGTCACCCATAAGACCAATAGTAGATTTCAGGAATACCCCTACATATGAATTATTAAAACACTTAGCTCTAATATTATATCCCATTAGTAATCATTCAAACACCAGGCTAACTAATTCATATGAGATGAAAAATAAACTAAATGACATTCAACTAGAGAACGATGAAGCAGTGGTTAGTTTTCATATAACTAGTCTTAATACTAATATACCAATCAATATGGCCTTAGAAGCAGTTAAAAAAGAGCTAACTGCGGATCCTGAACTCTCTCATAGGACGAAGGTGCCCGTTGAAGTTGGTATCAAATAACTATCCTATAACCTTTCTTAGGAAGATCAGAAACTGTCAAAAGCAAAATAAAAATAATGAAAACATATATAAGACAGAATATAAGGCATCTACACTTATACCATATAAAGTGAGGACATCTGAGACCCTGCGCAGGATTCTTAATAAAGCAGGAATTAGAGTGGCATTCAAATCTACAAACTCACTCAGAGACAAGCTCTATAGGCTGAAAGACCCAGTAAACGCAATTAAACAAAATAATATAATTCACAAAATACCTTGCGATGACTTCGAGTTAAGTTAACTACGTAGGTCACACTGGTAGGTCGGGGGTAGTCACATTGTCGGAACATAAGAATTTAGCTAAAGTAAGAATGGTTGATCCCACCCACGAAGATAAGAAATTGAGAAAAAAGCTCAGCGATTGCACTGCATGCATTGACACACAACCACACAATAGGATGGGAGAGGGTCAAAATTCTAAGAAGTAATACAGTTAGGTGGAGAGAGAGGTTGATTACCAAATCTTTGTTAATCGAATCCACACTCAACACGTGCAATAGGAATACCTCATCACTCATACCGGAAATATGGAAAATACTACTTCCAATCAAGTCAAGCGATGAAAAATGGTGATGGAGCTATATAAACGAAGTTAGAAAGTTGTGTGAGTACCTTGATATGATTATGATCAATAAATTGTGCTCGAAACATGGTCATCAGTAAGTATTACTTTATAACACTGTGTGAGACTTTATCAAAGTAAAGTTTACCCATAATAGAATTATACTCTATCACAGTGCACAAGTTCTATTCTTATATCAATGTGGTCACTAAGCTAGGCGACTCCCACCGCTTACTGCACTTTAAAACCACATTAGGAGGTGAATCGTAGTGAGATATCAGACTGTAGAACTTTATAGCTTGGAAGGTTGAAGATATACCTTGCTAATGCATGGCAGGAACCACAAAATCTAGGTTCACAGCTTCCTACTAACTTCTTCCAACTCCCTAACATGTAAAATATCCTTACCAACTATCTAAAAGGCGACTCAAACTGTGTTACATGTGAGATTATCTTCTTGAAACTATTGTACCCTCTGAGACAGATGGTCAGTATGATAGACTGAAAGTGATCCAAGGGGATAAAATGCTTTTCTCAAGAACGGTACATAGTGTAGACAGGTCACACATTTCTTGAATCTCTCTCTTGACTGGGAATTCACTACTGAATCATGAACGTACTGACTCTACTTTTTAGTTTGACAGATGATATATGCATTTCCTCATATACTGTTCTGTTGCTTATATGTCAAAATATTAATGAAGGAAACAACAGAAATCACCTATCTTAGCATTGTTCGCTTCTCAATCGTCAATAAAAATTAAACTGATCAGATGAACGATACTTTAGAGAAAATGTCTTTACCTTAAACAAGGTTTGTTTCTAAAACGTCGATTTGTGACAGGACTTGTATGTGATTCTTGAGAATCAATATTAGTCAATAAACCGCTAAAAAAAACTAATGAATGAAGCAATAGTCAAATAACAAAGTACATAATCAGATATAGATATTCGCAAACTTAATTACTACTGATATCTGATTTGAACCTGTCTCAAACTGGTATAATCTCGTCACCGATCGATATAACTAAGTGAACTTTTACGTAGGTATAATAACTCTGAAAGCAAATGGACAACTCTGCTGATATACTAGATACGCCTATTCATGTTTAGTACCTTTCGCTTTACTGAGCCACGTAAATATCAAAAGACAAAGACCGGTCTGTGACTGATAGGATGACGGCTTTATTGGAAATAAGCACAAACTTGTATTTCTCTAACCATATTAAAATATAGCTAAGTCAGTAGAAAATAAACTGTTCTGACTGACAAATGGTTCGACTAGGTCAGTGGAAAATAAATATTCGGACTGGTTAGCCATTGGCTTAGGACCAAAGATATAAATAATATGATGGCATTTTACAGTGAAGTTAAGTTCACAAGACGAATTCTGCAACCACCAGTTTCAAGTATTGTTTGCTATTTTTAGCTACTTCTTATCCATGTGATATTATCTGACAGTAATGATTAATTTCAAGGTACTGTTTTGATTAGTTCTATACGAGAAGTTGTTACCAGAAAGTATGACCGAGTTGGAACCAAGGAGAGTTACTCAGTAAGAGCATTTACAGTATCCTGCTAATCGGTAGCAATAATAAATAATTTGTTTTACTATTGATCAAGTAACAATGCTTCCATCTGACAGTTGTCAAGTAGATGTTGTACAGGAAAGCCATGGTAGTACATTCTTAAAGAATTCTTAACCTGGAAAAAACAAAAATGTCAGATAGTTCTCAGTTTTCAGTATTGCCGTATAAAACTTTGTGACTTGACAAATACATCCTAGAAAATACAATGATATACTTCGTTGGCTACATTTTTACTTTGAGAAAAGTTTCGCTTCAGAAATCTTTAAGGCGTTTCACATTTTCTAAAAGTTTATGATAACTACTCTTTATTTAACCGATAAAGAAAATTATCATTTTCTTTCGTAACCAACATTTCATTGTTTCATTCACTTTATCATGATTTCATTTACTTCATTTTCTAGTATTTATCAAGAGGTGCAGCCACCAAATTATTGATTGAAACAAGAGATTTAGAAGTTCTACCGATTATTGATTTTAAAGTACGCAATTTCGACAAACAAGGTACATGTTCATTAAGTCTTAATGTTGGTGCTGTATGTTATCGTACATAAAAAAAGAATAAATATTAATAAACCAAAATTAAAATAATACAATGGAAATAAAGAAGATGAACAAGTTAATACAAAAAGTAGACATTTAAATGAATAAAAGAGAATGTTAGATGTTCAATGTTCAATATTGTTTTTTTCTTTTGTTTAAATGAATACAACAATGCTTTGGATTTGAATTTATTAATTTATGATGGAATATAATTCTTGGACTGAAATGATATATATATTAAAATGGGGTTTCTTTTTTCTTCAAAGTGCACCAAAAGTATTCAATGAAATGTACAATGTATTAAAAAAAATAATAATAAAAGAAACACATGGCATTCATTTTTGAGAAGAAAAGCGTAAAAAGCAAATGAATTAGGGATTTTCATATGAATATAAATATATATGAATAATATTATGCTACAAAAAACATGTTCAATATGAACTGAAATAAACTTCGAGAAAATGCATTTGTTTGACTTTTAGTCTGCTTATTAAGATCTCCCAGCTTTTGTTGTTTTGAATAAGAAGGGATAATCAGTTGTAGATAAGCTCGTTACAGATCAGCTTGCTATTTATGCTTCGATGCTAGACCAGAATTAGATGTGTAATAATAGTAACCGTTTGGAGCTGTGGCTCACTGGGTCTAATCACTCGAATCCCAACCACCGGATCAGGGATTTGAACCGTACTCCACCCAATAAGGTTTGAATAGCCTTCATACATTAGTTGTCGCTCATCGCCAACTGTAAGGAATTGCAGTTTGCTGTCCAATGACATTGCATTCCTTGTTCTTCAATACCAAGCGAATGTGTTAATACACCTTAGTGGCATGACTTAACCAACCCCTAGAGACACCTAAAAGGAAAACCGTCTGAAAGTGAAATGGTGATTCACTTGTCTGAATAATCATACACAGAAGTATAATGTTCTTTACAATAATGCGATTTTTCTACACATGTAAATTTTTTGATAAGTTTGGTGTCATTATGAGGGGACTGAGATTTTCTGTGGAATATTTAGTTTGTCCTGTGCATTTAAGTGACCAAATTTGCAAACTTTTTCATGGATTCACAGTATAAGACATATTCTGTAGTAGACTAAACACAAGATTATTAGTGAACTAGAATCTCAGCAATTGTATCTGAGGAAACCATCAAGTGACATCACTTACAGGCCATCGCTCGAATGAAACCCGAAAAAGAAGCGGCGAGTTGGTCGGCCAAGGGTGACTTGGTGGAGGTCATGTGAAGAGGAGATGAAAGCGTGTGGGCAGACTTGAAGCGGGCTGAAAACGCTGGCAGAGAACCCAACGCAATGGAGACGCGCGGCTGAAGCCATATGTTCCTCTAGGAATTAAAAAAATAATAATATAATAACCCCACAATATGTCTTATATCTCTAGCTGATTCCATGCATACTTTTATAAGAGTATGTCGACTTGCTGTTCATAAGTGGCTAACCAAGATTATCGGAAGTTTAAAGTAAGTGTCAATAGTAAATAAAGCGGGATCTAATGAATTCGTGAAGTTTTGGTAGAATCTATCTCTGAATTCTACCTTATTGTTGTTGATATGTAAAAGAAGTCGTTCATCCATTCGTCTAGCTGAGTACTTACCAAAAATAGTTAAAATAAGTAGAACCAAAACTGTCTTTGAAGTTCAACGACAAGGTCATCCTCGAGATTTCCGGCAGAGGTCTGTATTACTTCTGTCTGCAGATCAGTTCTCTATGCACAGAAAGCAATAGGAGTTCGTTTGAATCTACCATCAATAAATCAATTTTCATTTTGTTTTCTATTACTACTCCTGTTTTTCGCTTGTATTTATTGAATTTATTCTGTAGTTTTACGATCTTCTTATTCGTTACTATTCATTTCATAGGCATTCAACTCCTTAATACCACTAGGCTTTCTATTTACATTACCACCTATGCATTATCACAGTGGAATAGCTTAGTTTTAATCTACACGAACTACATTCCTGGTTTTCTTCGAACCCTTTATCCCCCCCTTCATTAGTAGTCTGATATACCTATAATCATGGAATATAAAGTTTTTATATTAAATATGGTAAACACCACTAAGCATTCAGGGTAATTAACTGACTTGCTCTGTCTGGTTTGTTTTATTATTATTATTGCTCCCTTGGGTTCCTAGTGGAACATAGGGCTTCAACTGCACGTCTCCATTTGCTTCTGTCTTCTTCTGCTGTACTTTTCGCCTGCATCCATGTTAGTCCATACTCTTTCAACTCCTCTTCACACGATCTCCTCCATGTCACCCTTACACTGACGTCCCACACGCCGCTTCCCTTTCGGGTTCCACTCGAGGGCTTGACGCGCGATGTCACCCAGCGGTCTCCTCAGCGAGTGTCCAATCCATCTCCACTTTCTCCTGCATATTTGTTGGGCGATTGGTTCTTGTTTTGTTTGTTCCCATAGTTTCTTGTTGGTGATTCTTTCCGGCCGGCCATCTGATCTTCAGTATAGAGCGAAGACAGTTGTTGATAAAGGTCTGCAAAGCCTGTTGGAAATATTCTTTGTGACCCGCCAAGTTTCTGATCCGTATAGAAGAACTGACTGACTTGACGTTTGTATTGAAAATCCCCGAATTTTGTTGTTGATGCTGAGTGACGAAGATTTCCAGATTGATTTCAGGTTGATGAATGTGTTTCTCGCCTTCCCGATTCTCGCTCGATTTGACATCCTCGTCCGTTCCTCCTGTAGTTGAGACAATGCTCCCTAGATGAGTGAATGAAGTAACCTCTTTCAAATCCCTCCCGTTGATGGTGATTGACGTTGGATGTTGTTGGTTGGTTATTTTCATAACCTCCGTCTTGTCTATGTTTACCTGGAGTCCTGTCTTTGCTGCTTCTTCGACCAGTTTGTCGGTTTTCGCTTGTAAGTCTTCGATTGTGTGTGACATCAAACATAAATCATCCACGCGCGAAATCCAGGTCTTCTAGGTTCTTCACGTCGGTCCAGGATATTCCTGTCTTCTCGTTTCCCACTGTCTGACGCATAATCCAGTCAGTCCACCACAATTAGGAATATCATTGGTGATAGTAAGCACCCTTGTCTGACTCCTGTGTTTACTCCAAACGCCTCGCTGAGTTTTCCGTTGTGGATCACTTGGCATGTGCCGTTGTCGTACAGCTGTTGAATAAGGTTGATGAATATTTGGGGTACGCCATAGTACTCGAGTAATTTCCAAATTACTTCACGATCAACGCTGTCGAAGGCCTTCTCAAAGTCTATAAAGTTGAGGTAGAGGTTTGATTGCCATTCCATGCTTTGTTCTGTGATGATGATGCGTAGAGTTGCAATTTGGTCAGTACATGATTTGCCTTTCCTGAATCCAGCTTGTTCTGGTCGGAGTTCTGTCTCCAGTGCGTCCTTTAATCTCTCCAGGATGATGCGACTCAGGATTTTACTTGGCGTCGATAGGAGCATGATTCCTCGCCAGTTCTTGCAGAGTGGGCCTAAGTCGCCCTTCTTTGGTAGTTTCACGAGGTAACCTTTCCTCCAGTCAGTAGGCACCTTTCCCTCCTTCCAGACCTTTTGCAATAATGGAGTCAGCATGTCTGCTGTAGTCTCTGGGTCCGCTTTCAGTGCTTCAGGGGGTATTCCATCTGGTCCGGCTGCTTTTCCAGCTTTCAGAAGCTTGATTGCGTTCAAGACTTCAGCTCTCGTTGGAGGATTGGTGTCAACTTGCAGTTGTGTGCGCGCTGTTGTTGGTATTTCTGGACGGGTTGCAGGTGATGGTCGGTTCAAGAGTCCTTTGAAGTGATCCGCCCATTGTTTAATCTGTTTTTCTTCCTTGGTAATTGGGTTCCCTTGGCTGTCTTTTATAGGTTTCGCTTGTGTTGATCTCTTCCCGGATAGAGATTTGGTTATCTGATATAGTGTCCTCAGGTCCCTTTTGCCTGCTGCCTTCTCAGCTTCAGTGGCCAGGTTGTCGTAGAATCGTCTTTTGTCCTTCCTAGCACTCTTCTTCACTTCTTTGTCCAGTGCTTTGTAAGTTGAGCTCATCGTCTCCTTCTCCTGTCCGTCCTTGCATTGAATCATTTTCTCTTTCACCATTCTCCTCTCTTCTATTAATTTCCAAGTGTCCGTTGAGAGCCATTCCTTGTCTTGTCTCTTCTTTCTTCCTAGAACCGTTGAACACGTTTCGTTGAGAATCGCCTTCAGAGACTTCCAATGTTCTTCCACGCATGATTCTTCAGTGATGTCGCGTAGTGTTTCCTGCTTTGCTCTGACAGTTGCAGTGAAAGTGTCTTTTGTGGTTGTGTCCTTCAGTAATTGAGTGTTGAACTTGCATTGTGGCCTATCCCCAGCTATCCTCGAGGCTTTTAGTTTCACCTTGAAAGTCCCTTGTACTAGATAGTGGTCTGAACCCACATCTGCTCCTCTCCTTGACCTTGTGTCCAGTAGGCTCCGTCTCCACTTTCTTGAAATTGAGATGAAGTCTATTTGGTTCTTGGTGTTTCCATCTGGTGAAATCCATGTCGTCTTGTGTATATCCTTGTGTTTGAACACACTACCACCAATCACCAAATCATTGAAGGCGCAGAAGTCTGAGAAGAGTTCACCATTGTCGTTCATTTCACCGAGGGCCTCACGACCCATGGTGAGTTCTCTTCCTGTGTTGTCTCCTCCCAGCTTCGCATTCATGTCGCCCATCAGGATTTTGATATCGCCATTTGGGACGTTGTCCATTATTGCTTGTAGTTGTCTGTAGAACGCCTCCTTCTTCTCTTGTTCTGAGACGTTTGTAGGCGCATAGCATTGAATGACTGTAACTTTCCTTCCTTTTGAGTTGAACCTGGCTGTCATTATCCTGGAGGAGATTGGTTCCCACTGCATGAGAGCTTTGGCTGCTGTTGGTGACATCATGATGGCCACTCCCTCGGTGTGCTCATGGTTGTCCTCTAGGTGGCCGGAATAGATTACTGTCTCTCCAGTAGGTAGTTGGCACCTTCCAGTTCCGTTCCATCTGCTTTCGCAGATTCCCA